GCTGTTTATGTGGACTATTGCCCTTTCGCCGGCCCCTCCCCCAAAACGGCCATTGTCCAATCACACATCATAGCAACCGTTACTATGTGAGCAGGTCCTTCAAACATTGACTCCAAGCAAGATGGTGAAGCGGTGCGCCCCCGGCGTTTGTAAATCGGACACTAGGCACCCCGAGAGATTGTCTGGAGGAGTTGTGTTCTTTCCGTTTCCAAAGCCGAAAACACAACGTGAGCGGTGCCTACAATGGATAAAACAGTGTGGACGACCCCACTCCCAGTTACATGTGTCGAACAGGGTTAACCCGTGCAGCGTGAGTGAGACTGAGACACTGAGATTAACTGTTAGTCAAAGAAACACGGAGAAAGCAGATCAAGAGGATCCACAAAGGAATTACGGTTTCTAAAGGGTTGTTGTTAACATGATATTCTCAGTGGAAATGAGCAGCAGTGCAGCGCCCGTAGACTACAGTTTAGAGGAGTGCACGCTCGCAACGGGGAAAGCATGAAGCTTACTAGATAACAACAGTTCATATCAATATCGTAACGAATAGAAATAACCCTAAATAATGTTTGGTTATCTGCATCTTTCCGTCTCTTATGTATAAGTTAGTTATTTTTTAAACAAAGAAGTTTGTGTTTGAATAATTAACTATCTTATTTAGCTGAGGTAAATTAAACCCAATTGAACGTTCGCAAAAGCCTCGCCCCCTAGTTATTAATAAAATATATTAATACGCAATGAAGGAGACTATCGAGGCTAATGCTTACTATACCGGTCTCAAGCGAAATCTGAGAAACCCCATGACCTGTAACTTATAAACCAGCACAGCCTTGAAGAAGAGTTTATACGCTGGTTCACTGGAAATAGAATGTTAGAAATATGAGTTAAATGTTATATTATATATGTTAGAAATATAACTCGCGCTGCATATTTAGTAATTTTGCCTCAGATATATACATTCGCTTTAACAAGCAGGTTCATTACCACGGCAACCGATTGTTTAACCGTGTAACTATACATAGACGGAAAGATGCAGATAACCATACATTATTTAAAGTTATTTCTATTCGTTGCGATATAACGTTAACTGATGTTGTTCTAAACTGTAGCTACGGGTGCTGCACTGCTAGTCCTGCTGCTCATTTTCCCCTGAGAATATCATGTTAACAACAACCCTTTAGAACCCGTAATTCCTTTGTGGATCCTCTTGATCTGCTTTCTCCGTGTTTCTTTGACTAATCCCAGTGTCTCAGTCTCACTCACGCTGCACGGGTTAACCCTGTTCGACACATGTAACTGGGAGTGGGGCCGTCCACACTGTTTGATCCATTGTAGGCACCGCTCACGTTGTGTTTTCGGCTTTGGAAACGGAAACAACACAACTCCTCCAGACAAACTCTCGGGGTACCTAGTGTCCGATTTACAAACGCCGGGGGGCGATATTTTTTTCACAGGATGGTAGGGGAAGACTCATGAATATTCATTAGGGAACTCTTCCCTGATTGGTCTTAACCCCAGTGACTGGTAGGTTTCGGGGCGGGGTTAGGGGTAGGTCATCAGACCCCCAGTGACGGGTAGGTTTAGGGGCGGGGTTAGGGGGTAGGTCATCAGACCAATCAGGGATGAGTTCCCTAATGAATATTCATGAGTCTTCCCCTACCATCCTGTGAAAAAAATATCGCCGCCGGCGAGGGGTGCACCGCTTCACCATCTTGCTTGGAGTCAATCGGGAGTCAATGCACGGACCTGCTCACATAGTAACGGTTGCTATGATGTGTGATTGGACAATGGCCGTTTTGTGGGAGGGGCCGGCGAAAGAGCAATAGTCCCGTGTTGTGTAACTCGTGTGTGCTGCTGCATCGGGACAAAGGGCTCATGAGTTTGCAAACTAAATGCTGATATCACTAACCCTCAACAGAGTAAATAAATCTTTTCAGACAAGCGTCTGCTGATCAAATGAATGAAAATAAAGTAAAGTTCGAGATAAAAAAATTATAAAAAAGCTATGCCATGCTAGTTTATGACATAGCTACTCTCGCAAGCCGTTTTATAACTTTATGCCTTATGGACTATATGACTGGTCAACTTATAATTGTGACTCTCCAAAATACAATTTTAACTATCTAAAATAAAAATAAAATATTTCCCCGTGAAGTTATTTAAAGAATTCCTTATTTTTAATGTGCACAAATTCCTTATTTTTTAAACTATCTTCACAGAAACTACATTTTTGTATTAATAACAACAAAAAAAGTGTGTTACAAACATTAGAGTATACAAGAAAATACAACATAAATGTAACAAATAGTTGCACACTGGGGCTAATAATTTAGCCTATATGATATTTACAAATAAGAATATTTGCACACATTTTCTAAGTTTTCTGCTTTGTGCTTCATATAAATCGTCAATATAAAGTTCCATTTCTTTCTTGAATGATGTAAAACAAGGGTTGTTATTTTTTTTACAGGAACACTTGTGAACATGGGATTTTGCCATTTAGAATACAACTTATTATATAAATCTGACTGTGCTTGTCACTACAATTCTCCAAAAGACCAAATAACAAATGTTTCCAAAACAACACAAATAGGCTATTATTGTTCTTTGTGATATCACAAACATTTTGCCAAAGCGGTCTTACAAATGCAGTGCCAGAATAAATGAACCTCAGTTTCAGGGCAACTGTCACAAAAAGTGCAATTAAAATCAATATCATCTTTAAATTTTACAGAGTAAATTCTATGTATAATTTTGAATGATAGCTACCTCCTTAACTTTCTTTGTAATTAGTATATAAGCCAAACCTGTTTCCACACAATATTGCCTGTCAAACGATTCCAATATGAGTAAATATAAGGCAAAAACACAGTGTTTCTTTGAAATTGGGGAAAAACAAATATTATCCACAGAAACTTGCTATAGTAGAAACTAAATATTTTGTTTTATTCATTTAAGAAACAGATGCAAATAAACAGATTTAGGAGAACTTAAGAGTAAAAAAAAACACTCGGATGTAAAATCAGATATTTAAAGGAAGTAATAAGAATCACTTACATACAAATGAAGAGGACAAATAAAAGAAAAAGGAAAAGGAGAAAATAAAAGAGTAAGTACCTTACATTTGTATTGGGAAACAATACTGACAAGAGATAATCAAACACAAAAAACAATATATGACAGAAAGCTGGTTAAACCTGAACATCAGAGCCATTACAAAATAATCGTTCATCTAGTTTTAGGAATATATCACATTTTTATTGCTATTGCTAGTTAGGAATATAATTAGGTTATTATAGTTAGGAATATATTTATATAGAAACTACATTTTTGTCCACCTATCTGCTTAGTAGCCCATCGTGACGTTGAAATTACGTTCGCCAATAGCAGCACTTAGTAATCGTGACGTAATCATGACGTACGCCAATAACAGCTGCATAGCAGCGAAGCATTGTGGGAAATACTGACTGTTTTAAATTTAAAACAGTGTAATTAACGATTAAACGTAGAATTTGTGTTCGTGTCGTGTTTCATACATCTATATTTGATCGCGCCAGTATATCCAACGTGAAAAATTGCAGACTGAATATAATATTACCGTTGAAGTGAAACACGGGTCAAGTCTGCCGTATATATACTCAGCGCCCGTACACCGTTGTTTGGATGTGAGGGCGATCTGGCTGCGACATCTGTCACCCCATTGATCGCTAGTGTTGATTCGGCTGATCTGGCTGGCTAGGCGGGTGTCCCCTTCCTCCCTCACCGCTCCATGTGTGTCCCTCCCGAAGCCCCGCGCTCGGTTGATGAGGACGAGTTCCCCGGCGGACGAGCATCGGTTGGTATAGAAGTAGCTGCACTCCCCTGCTAGAACCTCCAAACAAGCTCAAGGCCCATTTGTAGGAGAAACGTAGGGAAGTCGAGCTCCAAGACTTCAAGCACATCCAAATGAGGCACTGCATGTGGCAGTCTGCCTTTCTTTTGAGAAAAAAATACCTCAATATAACACGTTTCTTGCCTTTATCAAGTTCACTAACAACGTAGTGTGTTTTATTTTATTTTAAATGAACGAAATGTGAACTAAAACCCTAACTAATTACTTTAAATAAAATACCTTAAGCTTCAAACTTTACCAAACTCTTCGGTTTCTCAAGGGAACTTAAAGTTTGTCTCGATGAACTTTTTATCTAGTGTATTTCAGAATCAGAATACGCTTTATTCGCCAAGTGTGCCCGAACACACGAGGAAGTTGTGTTTTTACAGGAGCTTTGCAAACATACATGAGACATTTAAATGAGACTAAGGAAAAAACATAAATAAAGAATAATAATAATATGGTAATGTGGTATAGACGCCAAAGCAACTTTTCTCATTTTATGTACTAATATAACTAAAACTAAACTAAAATTAACTAAAATTAATGAAAGCTATAGAGATAGGCTATATAACTTAAAAATTAAAAACACAACAAAATGACTAAAACTTTAACTAATATTAAAATGGAAAATATAAAAACATTGAAATATTAATAATAGTATCTAAAATAGCACTAACATAAACTGCAGTTTAACATAAAAAACAAAGAATTTTTCGACTATTTCATGGGAAGGACTGACAAGAAATTATTCCAATTGAATTAATCGCAAGTTAATCACATACATTTTGGCTGAGACATTGCCCCATAAAAGATTATGTAAAGTCATTATTGTGCAGGACAAGAAAAGCATTGAATAGACATAACAAAAAATAGCTTTAGAAATATTTTTTTGATTCAACATAGAATTTATTACACATAAACTATTAAGGCTACAACGATCATGGCCATAACAGGACAAAAGAGGTTCAGAAGTTAGAAGTTTCAATCTATTCGTGCATGATTAATGATGCAATACATCTGGGGGTTCATTTTACAATGTCTTTGTTTTTATTTATTTTTGCTGTTGAATATTTGTTTTAAAAATGATTTCTATGAGACACGTCTGTAATTGCGCAGTGATCCTCCAGGTGGCAGTGCGCAGACTCAGCGCGCGCGCGCGTTACTCAACAGGAAACGAAGAAGAAGAGCGCGCAGTTTACAAAGTATTTCATAACGCATTTCATAACATAGGTGAGTTTCAGTTATTGTGCTGATGGATGTGGGGAAGGAAAGAGTGATCGCGCTGGTGGACATGGACTGTTTCTATGTGCAAGTGGAGCAAAGACTCAATCCCGAGCTCAAAAACAAGCCCTGTGTTGTTGCGCAATACAAGACATGGAAAGGCGGAGGGTGAGACTTTACTTTTCATTCTTTTACTGTTATTATAGTCACACATTTACTCTCAACCCCCGGATATATATTTTGCAGTTCATATAATATAATTTTAAAGTCTATTAACCGTTATGTTCTGTTGATGTTGACTGTATGTTTATGTTTGGGGTCCCAGAGACCGCGATGCTTATATAACTACTTTTTCTATTATTTAATTATAATTATTATTATTTCTTAGGGGTGTAACAATATATCGCAACAATATGTATCGTGGATAGTGACAATTTGTATTGTGATAGTTCACCCAAAATAAAAATTACTGTCTGAGAAGAAATTCAAGTTTTCAGAGTTGTAGTGTCAGTACTACATTAAACTACTATATATAATGTTGAATATAATGTATAATAATGCAATGGGGGAATATCTGTGTGTCCTGATAATGCCAGATGTCTGATGTTACCAATATAAGTGTTCTACATTATTATAAATATATCTAGTCAGTGACAGTGAAAGCATATTCGTCTAAAATAATTCAGTATTTTCAGCTTCAGAATCATGAATATTGTTATTCTGGTGTCTCTATTGTCCTGTGCTTTGGGTTTCAGCACCAAGTCCAAGATATTCATTTACACACAAAATGAAATTTTTATCAACAGTTTATTTTTTGTTAACCTTTTATCATATATCTTGGAGTATTGCAATAAGATCAGTATCGTGAAATGTATCGAATCGTGACATGAGGGTCTCGTTACACCCCTATTATTTCTATATTACACCAAGATACACTAAAGTGCCATAAACTAAGCTGAATATGTCCTGAAATTCACCCCTTAAAGAATGAAAGTGAAGTTGCTCTAGTCTTTCTTCTCTATTGTGTCGTATATCGAGTGAAACGCTTCTGGAACAAGAACAGATGTGGGCGGGGCTTGATTGTGTCTGTGGGGAGTTGATTGGATGGTTGTGGTTTGCTATTGGCTGATCTCATATGAGTGACAGGTTGCTCCGCCCACATCATCAGAGAAGAGATGCTGCAAGAGGAACTGATTCTGATTCAAGATTATTAAAACAATAATGATGTGAATCATAAGAATTGTCATGTGTGACTTCATGGTAATTCAGACCCCAGTGATGTGTGTCATTAGCATTATAGCGGTGAGTTATGAAGCCCGGGCTCACGGTGTCACCAGGAACATGTGGGCCGACGATGCCAGGACCCTGTGCCCGGATCTACAGGTGGCTCGGGTCCGAGAGTCCCACGGGAAGGCGGATCTCACTCAGTAAGTGCACATCTCGGCCTTTCATGCGGCGCTAATGTGTCTAAAACGAGGAAACGCCACATTATAAAAACCCTACAAGTTATAAATGGAATCTCTAAAACCCTGTTTACCATTTACAGGAGATGTTTCTGATTTAAAGGTGCAGTGTGTAAGTTTTAACAGCATCTAGTGGTGAGGTTGCGAATTGCACCCAACAGAAGTTACGGTGGCCGACAGGAAGTGATGTCGTCGTCTGAGACCGCAGAGAGCAGCCAGTTAACAATGAGGTTTCTTTACAAAGATAAATTAAGAAATTAGGTTTACTTGATTATTCAGTAAAACGATGTTATTGTGACTTGTTCATCATTGTGTCAGTGTTTTACTCGCTGACTTTAGCAGCTTCTTATCATGAAGAACAACAGTGAGGAAACGCATGTGTCCGCTCAGGGCCACCGTAGAAACATGGATGTAAGCGGACCCGCGGTGTGTGTAGAAAGAAATGCTCATTCTAAGCTAATAAACACATAACGGCTCATTATAAGGTCTTTACACACCTATTATGTATATGATATTGCATTTCTGTCACAGATCCTCCATTAATATTACACACTGCACCTTTAATGACTTGTTTATGACTACTCTGATAGTTTGAGCGAGTCCTCGTGTGTGTGTGTGTGTCAGTTACAGGGAGGCGAGTGTGCAGGTGATCGAGGTGATGTCCCGCTTCGCCGTCATCGAGAGAGCGAGCATCGACGAGGCGTACATGGACCTGACGGCCAGCGTGGAGGAGCGCCTGAAGCACACGAGCGCTCGGGACGTCTCGCCGCAGCTGCTCCGCAACACACACGTGCAAGGCTTTCCTCAAACACACACCGGTGATCCCGGCGGCGGCGGCGGCGCGGTGCAGGATAAAGGTGCGTGTCTGAGACTCACAGCAAAACATGATCTTTTCATCATATCACATAAAGAGAACAAATGCTGGATGGAAACACCGAGACGTGGCAGTAACACTAGCTATGTGTCCATCCACCTATTTTTAAGTGAATTTTGCATAATAGGGATGAAACGGATAGATTCTAATAATGCTCATATAAATGTATGTGCCCAATTGAAGTGGATACATTTTTTTTACTTGATGAGAAGACATGCAGCTGTGCCTACAGAGAATACACTCCAGCTCAACAACCGTAATGAAATGACTCTCCACAGTAGATGATGCTTTACAGTGAGCAGTTCATCTGTCCAAAACCCTTCTCTCCTGCTGAGTAATACAACTCCATCATCTCTAGGGTATGGCTATGGGAATCGAATACTTGAGGTCAGGAATCGGATACTTGTTATAAATTTAACATTTCGATTCCTTTGTGAGTATTTCAATCTGATCTTCGAGCGTGAGAGACTCTGCGCTGTGCCGTGTGTATCAGTGTATCGGACCCGTGCGGCTCTTAAAGGGACAGCGCTCATATTCCTGCCGTCTCTATTATAACAATAATCACACAACACAAGACAGAGAAAATTCACTCGTTCTTCACTGAATAACTTTTGCAATGTATATTTTACTTATAAAGTACAGTGTTATTTTACTTTTGATGACAGTTTCTGCACCTGAACATCTTAAAACACTGTTTATTTCAATCGTACCTTTGTTCAGTTGTAACTTTTTTTTAATTACTGAGTGTTTACTAGTCTTTAATAATGCTTGAAGTTTATATTAGTTCAGCTAGTTGTTCTTCTACGGTATTTTTAAAGCACAGGCAAACGCTCCTTGTGTAAGTGTCCTCTAGCCTGTCAATTTTTGTTCATGATATTCAGCTGCAATTAAATGTTTTGCAATAAAACTAAATGTGAATATCTAAGTTTTTTAATTTTTTACATTTTTTTTTACCTTATTGGAATCGCAAAATAAGTAGAATCGAAATTATTAAATGTCCTGTGTGTAACTTTTTCACTCTACTAAAGCATAAAAATAGCATAATCTGTTTGCATATATTGAGGAAACATGCTGAGTTCACACACTCGTTTCTCTGAGAAACACTTCTACAGCCGGTTATTTTACTCTGAAATGTGTGTTTCCAGGCTGGAATGTTTGTTATTGTTTTGGTCTGTGATACCGCACGTTTCCAATGTGCCAATTTTCAATTTCCTCGTTCCTGTTGCGTGTCTCAAACTGGCGACCCGTGAGTCTGTGGAGGCGGGAGAAACCACGATCTCTGATATGTTGAATCGCACTGCAGTTCCTCTTTCCACCACTAGTGTCATTCTTACAGACTGCACCTTTAAAACCCAAACGATAGCCGACCCTACTCGTGTGTGTGTGTTCCTGCAGACGCGCTCCAGGCCGCGGGCCTCCTCCAGTGGCTGGATCATCTCTCCTCCTCTCCTGCGGATCTGCGTCTGGCTCTCGGCGCGCTGATCGTGGAGGAGACGAGGGCCGCCGTGGAGGAACACACGGGCTTCCGCTGCTCCGCCGGCATCTCACACAACAAGGTCTGATTCACCAAACAACCAGATCAGCACTCAGGTTACTTCAGCACAGATCCACAAGCTCTTCAGTCAATCTCCATTCGGTTCTTTTGGAGACAGTACTGGACAAAAGCTTGGAAACATTACCATTTGTAATGTGCTGCATTTATTTGATCAAAAATACAGTAAAAACAGTAATATCAGGGTTCGTACAAGGTGCTTAAAGTATTGAAGTATTTGACGTTTTGAAATTTAAGTCCTGGAAAACGCTTGAAAACAGACGTATTTAAGCAAAGGTACTTGGAAAGTGCTTGAACTATTGAAAGACAATATGTGTGAAAATGGAGTTTAATTTTATTGTTAAAACAATCTTTTCACACAAAATGAAGCTGCAGCCTGATTTATATATATATATATATATTTCACATGGATATGAGTGTGATATTCCTCATATAAATATCCAAGCATATGATACATCTTTCATTCTTCAGGTCAATCATATATAATTATGGAAAGTATTTATAACTAATTATATAGTCATTGCATCTGCTTCACTTTATTTGTACCATTTTGTTACAATTTATATATTTACCTTTTTTAGAATTAAAAAGATAATAAAGATATTGTTTGATAAATGATTGTAGTTCTTGAAAACCAAGAAAGTAGTGTTTAAAAGTCCTTGAAAATGCTAGAAAAATACTATATATGTGAAAATAGTGTTTAATTTTGTTGATAAAACAATCTTTTCACACAAAATGAATGCTGCAGCCCGTCTGATATACACTCACCGGCCACTTTATTAGGTACCCCATGCTAGTAACGGGTTGGACCCCCTTTTGCCTTCAGAACTGCCTCAATTCTTCGTGGCATAGATTCAACAAGGTGCTGGAAGCATTCCTCAGGGAGTTTGGTCCATATTGACATGATGGCATCACACAGTTGCCGCAGATTTGTCGGCTGCACATCCATGATGCGAATCTCCCGTTCCACCACATCCCAAAGATGCTCTATTGGGTTGCGATCTGGTGACTGTGGAGGCCATTTTAGTACAGTGAACTCATTGTCATGTTCAAGAAACCAATTTGAAATGATTAGAGCTTTGTGACATGGTGGAAGTAGCCATCAGAGGATGGGTACATGGTGGCCATAAAGGGATGGACATGGTCAGAAACAATGCTCAGGTAGGCCGTGGCATTTAAACGATGCCCAATTGGCACTAAGGGGCCTAAAGTGTGCCAGGAAAACATCCCCCACACCATTACACCACCACCACCAGCCTGCACAGTGGTAACAAGGCATGATGGATCCATGTTCTCATTCTGTTTACGCCAAATTCTGACTCTAACATCTGAATGTCTCAACAGAAATCGAGACTCATCAGACCAGGCAACATTTTTCCAGTCTTCAACTGTTCAATTTTGGTGAGCTCTTGCAAATTGTAGCCTCTTTTTCCTATTTGTAGTGGAGATGAGTGGTACCCGGTGGGGTCTTCTGCTGTTGTAGCCCATCCGCCTCAAGGTTGTGCGTGTTGTGGCTTCACAAATGCTTTGCTGCATACCTCGGTTGTAACAAGTGGTTATTTCAAGTTGCTCTTCTATCAGCTTGAATCAGTCGGCCCATTCTCCTCTGACCTCTGGCATCAACAAGGCATTTTCGCCCACAGGACTGCCGCATACTGGATGTGTTTCCCTTTTCACACCATTCTTTGTAAACCCTAGAAATGGTTGTGTGTGAAAATCCCAGTAACTGTGCAGATTGTGAAATACTCAGACCGGCCCGTCTGGCACCAACAACCATGCCACGCTCAAAATTGCTTAAATCACCTTTCTTTCCCATTCTGACATTCAGTTTGGAGTTCAGGAGATTGTCTTGACCAGGACCACACTCCTAAATGCATTGAAGCAACTGCCATGTGATTGGTTGATTAGATAATTGCATTAATGAGAAATTGAACAGGTGTTCCTAGTAATCCTTTAGGTGAGTGTGTGTATATATATATATAGTAAAGTGTGATTTAAAGCTGAATATTCAGCATCATTACTCCAGTCTTCAGTGTCACATGATCATCAAAGTCTGAGACTGTTTCATTTCAAAAGCACAAACCTGATCATGATATTTGGATCAGGAGCTACTTGTTCACACATTTCCCCCCGTTTGTCCTTCATAGGTGTTGGCCAAACTGGCGTGTGGTTTAAACAAGCCGAATCGGCAGACAGTGCTGCCCCTGGGCTCCGTCCCGCAGCTCTTCCACACGCTCCCCATCAGGAACATGTGAGTAGATCTAATGGTGCGCTGATGCTGTGTCTCCTCACTGATGATGACGGTGTGTGTGGTCGATCCGCAGCCGTAACCTGGGAGGGAAGCTGGGATCCTCCATCACACAGACTCTGGGGGTGGAGAACATGGGAGACCTCCTGCGCTTCAGCCGGGTCCAGCTGGAGCAGCTCTTCGGGGAGAAGACGGGGTGAGGAGCGGCTCACGCAGAGCAACACGCCTCGGGACACACACACTCATCTAATCAGGCAAAATAATCAGGCACAAATCGACACATATCACGATATTATTGCAATACTATAAGATATATGATAAAAGGTTAACAAAAATGCACTGTTGATTAAAATGCTAAATTATATTTCATTGTGTGTGTAAATGAATAGACTTGGACTTGGTGCTGGAAACCCAAAGCACAGGACAATAGAGACACCAGAATAACAATATTCATGATTCTGAAGCTGAAAATACTGAATTATTTTAGACGAATATGCTTTCTCTGTCACTGACTAGATATATTTATAATAATGTCGAACACTTATACTGGTAACATCAGACATCTGGCATTATCAGGACACACAGATATTCCCCCATTGCATTATTATACATTATATTCAACATCATATATAGTAGTTTAATGTAGTACTGACACTAAAACTGACTTTTTTTCTCACACAGTTGTCCATCCACAATACATATTGTCACTATCCATGATACATATTGATGCATTTTTGTATTGTGATATATTGTTACACCCCTACAAATTAATCACAGCGTCATGGGAAGGTCTAATTGCACTTGGGTAGAAACTAGTGATGCACCAAAATTATTATTATTATTATTATTTTTTTTAGAAAAACATTGAAACCGAAAATGTATTGATTCATTTTTTTAATAATCAACAACACTCATGCAAACAAATATTAAGGAGCATAAACATGACATCTGTTTTAATTCAAATTGACAGAATTCAAAAGCTGAGAGTTTGTTTCATATCAAAAGTATTGTCACTCAACTAAAAAATGTATTAATTAATCGCACATTTTTCTGTAATTAATCACGATTAATTGCACCTGACATTAAAGTTTTTTATATATATATATATATATATTTATATTGTAATAATTTCACATTTAATCTCCAATTAACGTTGAAACACAAAGACAGTAGACTATATTTTATATATTTGTTTAATGGCATCTTTTTTGACTTTTTCTTCTATTCATTTCTCCTTTTTTCTATTTCTTTTTCTTTCTATTCAAAAATGTCAAAATTCAGATTCAAATTGAATAATAATTCAAATAATAAAATACAAAAACTCAATTTTAGCCATTAATCAATTTTAAACATTTATTAGGCTTTAAAAAATATACTGTATAACGTTTTTAGCCGTAAGCGAAAACTCATTTATGGTTGAACAGATTTCAGGCAATTCCTGGCTGTGAATGCTCATTTAATCTCCATATAACAATTCTAAAGCACCTTTTCCAATAATAACGAAGTAATGGTGTAAATGTGTCGATGTAAAGGTGTGTGTGTGTGTCTCAGGCCGTGGCTGTTCGACTTGTGCCGAGGGATCGAGTTTGAGCCGGTGAAGCCGAGACATCTTCCCAAATCCATCGGCTGCAGCAAGAACTTCCCTGGGAAAACCTCTCTGGCTTCCAAACAGCAGGTGTGTGTGTGTGTGTTCCTGCGAAACTGTGTGTGTGTTCCTGCTCGTGATGCTCATGCTCTCGTGTGTGTGTGTGTGTTCCTGCACGTGATGCTCATGCTCTCATGTGTGTGTGTGTTCCTGCTCGTGATGCTCATGCTCTCGTGTGTGTGTGTGTGTGTGTGTGTGTGTGTGTGTGTTCCTGCTCGTGATGCTCATGCTCTCGTGTGTGTGTGTGTTCCTGCACGTGATGCTCATGCTCTCGTGTGTGTGTGTGTGTGTGTGTGTGTGTGTGTGTTCCTGCTCGTGATGCTCATGCTCTCGTGTGTGTGTGTGTGTGTGTGTGTGTGTGTGTGTTCCTGCTCGTGATGCTCATGCTCTCGTGTGTGTGTGTGTGTGTGTGTGTGTGTGTGTTCCTGCTCGTGATGCTCATGCTCTCGTGTGTGTGTCTGTTCCTGCACGTGATGCTCATGCTCTCGTGTGTGTGTGTGTGTGCAGGTTCAGCACTGGCTTCATCAGCTCGCCCTCGAGTTAGAGGAACGCCTGAGCAAAGACAGAGACATGGTGAGTCCGTCACTGATGAAGGAACTAACGCTGCAAACCAGCAGATCGACGCCACCGGATCGCATTAGCCACGCTCAGAGAAAGGCTGTGTTAATGCAGAGAGCTGCCATGTAGACTTGTTGTGGCAAAAATTCATCTCAAACAAACATCACTGCGTAAGAGACACTCAGAGTCAAATTATCTAAAATAGAAGTATTTATTCTTGCAAGAATAGGAGCAGTCTAATACACAGTTGTTACCCTGTGCAGAAGAGTGACACACCCCCAGACAGACTGAACCAGCTTTTATCTAAGTTTCAAGGCCTTCTTTCCCCCAGAGCCTTCCTCCCAGTAGTTTTCCATAGACTAAGCCCCCCTGCACCAAATGGCCTTCCGACATCTAGGTCAGAGGTCCCTGTTCGTCTGTTCTCTGGAGTGTCTCCCACTTCTGCCTCCCCAGGTACATAAACAGAATCTTCTCTCACTACAAGTGAGACACACATGTGACATTCTTTGAATCATCTATATTTTACTAAAGATCAATGAATATCATTAAAATTGCCACTACAGACTCAAAATGTGTAAAGTGCCAAGTAAAACTCACATTTACTAATACTACCTATGATACACAGTATTATGTTAAAAATCCTTTACCTAATTTTGTGTTTCTGGTCAAAAATGAATGGTCTTCTAAATTAAAAAAATATATATTTAGGGCTGTCAAATCAATGCATTTCTGTGTGTACATTTATTAATATATTAATAATTAATTAAACCTAATTTTTAAAGGGTTAAATTTTAATATTCTTACTGAGTTAGAACTATTCTTATTAAAACTAACCATTGGTTTCTGTAATTCGCCTTATATTTCGTTACTCCTTTTATATTTCATAAATGTCTATATTAATAATACAATAACATTTGATATGAATACCTTGCCACAATACCATGTTTACACAGTGAGTGTTACCACAATAAATCCTAAGTAAATGTGTGTGATTTGTGAATTGATAGCATAATGAGGGATTTATAAGCTATTTTTTTGTATGGTCATTTTTGACCCCGAACACCAAAAGTGTAACAAGGTGGAAAAACCAACCAAAGCTTTAGGGAAGTTGTTAAAGCTTGTGTGACATTATACACTTCTGTTCAAAAGTTTGGGGTCAGTGAGAATTGTTATTACATTTTTTTGGGCGAAAGAAATAAAATAAATCAATACTTTTATTCATCAAGGATGAATTAAATTGATCAAAAGTGACAGTAAAGACATTTCTTGAGCATCAGATCATCATATTAGAGTGATTTCTGAAGGATCATGTGACACTGAAGACTGGAGTAATGATGCTGGAAATTCAGGAATAAATTAACTTTACTATATATTCACATAGAAAACAGTAATTTTAAATTGTCATAATATTTAACAATATTTATTTTTTCTTTTGTATTTTTAATCAAATAAATGCAGCCTTGCTGAGCAGAAAAGACTTCTTTTAAAAACATTAAAAATCTTACCGATCCGAAACCTTTGACTGGTAGTGTAGGCCTGTGAGAGCAAAGTCAATGAGTTTTAGCATGAACTAGCGTTTGGCGTGTGATTATGTCCCACAGCGATGCTGTAAAGTATTGTGTTTCTCTGCAGAACGGGCGAGTGGCCAAACAGCTGACGGTGGGCGTCCGGCAGGCGGGAGACAAGAGAGCCAGCAGTTTCTCTCGCTGCTGTGCGCTTGTGCGATACGACGCCACCAAGATGACCTCAGACGGCTTTGCTATCATCAAGAGCCTCAATACTGCGGGCAGCCACCAGGAGGCGTGGTGAGCGAAATACAGGAACCGTCCGCTCAAACAAACAACCGATGCAGAAGAGTAGAGTGGTCAAAAGTACCGACTTCTGTACCAAGTCGGAAATTAAATGTAAAAAAGATGACGACACCAGCATTTCCCTGTAGCAGTTTGAGCGCATTCTTAAACACCTCTGATTGGCCATTGTTTTCATGCGTTCAACATATGTCTGTGATTGGCTACAATGATCAACCCTTCAAAAACATGTTGTCTTCACTGAGCGCTTGCACAGATACACACGGAAGTCTATCAGCTGATTCGTCAACAAGCGGATATATTAGGGATCCGCTGAATGACGCCTGCTTTCAAACGTGTGCATTTGACTTTGTGTGAGCGCTCAGTGAAGACAACATGTTTTGGAAGGGTTGATCACTATAGCCAATCACAGACATACAGTGCATCCGGAAAGCATTCACAGCGCTTCACTTTTTCCACATTTTGTTATGTTTCAGCCTTATTCCAAAATGGATTAAATTCATTATTTTCCTCAAAATTCTACGAATAACCCATAATGACAACGTGAAAGAAGTGAAATCTTTGCAAATTTGCAAACGAAAAAATCACATGTACATAAGTATTCACAGCCTTTGCCATGACATTTCAAATTGAGCTCAAGACGCAATCCTGTTTCCACTGATCATCCTTGACATGTTTCTACAACTGGATTGGAGTCCACCTGTGGTAAACTCAGTTGATTGGACATGATTTGGAAAGGCACAGATCTGTCTATATAAGGTCCCACAGTTAACAGTGCATGTCAGAGCACAAACCAAGCCATGAAGTCCAAGGAGTTGTCTGTAGACCTCCGAGACAGGGTCGTATCGAGGCACAGATCTGGGAGAGGGTACAGATAAACTTCTGCAGCATTGAAGGTCCAATTGAGTGTTCTCAATCATCCGTAAATGGAAGAAGTGTAACCACCAGGACTCTTCCTGGAGCTGAGCGATCGGGGGAGAAGGGCCTCAGTCAGGGTGGAGACCAAGAGCCCGATGGTCACTCTGGCCGAGCTCCAGCGTTTCTCTGTGGAGAGAGGAGAACCTTCCAGAAGAACAACCATCTCTGCAGCTCTCCACCAATCAGCAGAAGCCACTCCTCAGTAAAAGCACATGACAGCCCGTCTGGAGTTCGCCAATAGGCACCTGAAGGACTCTTAGACCATGAGAAACAAAGATTGAACGCTTTGGTCTGAATGGCAAGCGTCATGTCTGGAGGAAAGCAGGCGCCGCTCATCACTTGGCCAATACAGTGACGCCTGGTGGGGGCAGCATCAGCTGTGGGGATGTTTTTCAGCGGCACGAACCGGGAGACTCGTCAGGATCGAGGGAAAGATGAGTTGAGCAATGTACAGAGACATCCGTGATGAAAACCTGCTCTAGTGCGCTCAGGACCTCAGACTGGGCCGACGGTTCATCTTCCAACGGGACAACGACCCTGAGCACACAGCCAAGATAACACAGGAGGGGCTACGGGACAACTCTGTGAATGTGCTTGAGTGGCCCAGCCGGAGCCCGATTGAACATCTCTGGAGAGATCTGAAAATGGCTCTGCACCGACGCTCCCCATCCAACCTGATGGAGCTTGAGTGGTTCTGCAAAGGAGAATGGAAGAAACTGCCCAAATTAGGTGTGCCAAGCTTGTAGCATCACACTCAAAAAGACTTGAGGCTGTAAATGGTGCTTCAACAAAGTATTAAGCAAAGGCTGTGAATACTTATGTACATGTGAATTTTTTTTTTTTTAAATAAATTTGCAAAGATTTCAAACAAACTTCTTTCCCGTTGTCATTATGGGTTATTGTTTGTAGAATTTTGAGGAAAATAATGAATTTAATCCATTTTGGAATAAGGCTGCAACATAACACAAAATGTGGAAAAAATGAAGCGCTGTGAATACTTTCCGGATGCAGTGTGTATATATACTGTATATATATTACAACAGTTGAGTTACTTAGCTAAGGCTTCATTATTTTCTCGTAGGTCTCCTGCCTTGACTTGCCTTCATCTGTCAGCCAGTAAGTTCAGTGATGTACCTTCGTCCTCCTCAGGAGGGATAACCAGCTTCCTGAGCAGCGACGCAAGTTTAACTCAATCCCCCAAAACACAGCCGGCCCCCAGGAGCCCCGGGGCCATCCAGTCCCTGTTCGAGAAGGCAGCCGAGAGGAACAAGCGGCAAGCGGAGGAAGACGCGTCACACACTCCTGTGGAAAACACACCCAGCCAGTGCAGGTCGCAGAAAGCCTCTGGAATCGCTTCTTTCTTCCAGAGAAAGAGCCTGGAGAAAAACCTCGGGATCTCTAAAGGAAACGGGCAGATGCGGACCAAAGACGAGGATCTTCAGGTGTGTGTAGAGCCGAGCTCCTCCAAGGATCTTCAGGTGTGTGTAGAGCCGAGCTCCTCCAAGGATCTTCAGGTGTGTGTAGAGCCGAGCTCCTCCAAGGATCTTCAGGTGTGTGTAGAGCCGAGCTCCTCCAAGGATCTTCAGGTGTGTGTAGAGCCGAGCTCCTCCAAGGATCTTCAGATGTGTGTAGAGCCGAGCTCCTCCAATTATCTTCAGGTGTGTGTAGAGCCAAGCTCCTTCGAGGATCTTCAGGTGTGTGAAGAGCCGAGCTCCTCATTGGATCTTCAGGTGTGTGTAGAGCCGAGCTCCTCCGAGGATCTTCAGGTGTGTGAACGCTGTGGTCAGAAGGTGCTGGTCTGGGAAATGCCTGAACACACAGATTATCACTTCGCTCTGGACTTGCAGAAATCCTTCAGTTCCTCGGCCTCCAGTGACGGTCCCGTTCCCGCCAGAGCTCCTCTATTGTCCCATGGGAAGAGCAGAACACGGATCCAGAGCGGCCCGCAGGCCAAGAGAGCCCGAGTGCTGGGAAACTCTGGCACATTGGACTCCTTCTTTAAGAAGATGTGAGATATTCAACAGCACTTTACCTGGACAAGCTTTATATACGAGCAGGTTTTGATTAGAAATATTTGTGATTTTCAAATGTTTCGTGTTTTAATGTAAATAATAAAAAGTTGTTGTACAGAATATTATGTTCAAAAGCCATTTCTTTCCACTAAACATTGGGACACTAAGTCATGATTGCATATTAAAACAGCTGCGATTTATTAAAGCGGTTATGCGAACACAGGGACCTCGTGCTCCGGCACCACTCCCGACTGGGCCTTAGTGCTCAACTGGGAAAAGAGCAAACTCTCCCCTGTGCAGAGGATCTCCTTTCTCGGTACGGAAATAGACTTTGTCGCCATGTTCGCGCAGCTTACGAGCGAGCGCGCTCAGTCACTGCTGAATTGCCTGAGTTAATTCAAGGGCAAGAAGACGGTTCCACTGAAACTTTTTCAGAGGCTTCTGGGGCATATGGCATCCGCAGAGGCAGTCACACCGCTCGGGTTGCTTCATATGAGACCGTTTCACGACCGAGTCACGAGATGGGCATGGCAACAGGGTCAGTCAGTCACTCCGGCCTGCCATCAAACCTTCACCCTGTGGTCCAACCTCTCATTTCTATGGGCAGGTGTTCCCCTAGAACGAGTTTCCAGGCATATTGTTGTCTCAACAGATGCCTCTGCCACGGGCTGGGTGCCATGTGCAACGGACATGCTGCGTCGGGCTCCTAGACAGGACCCTAACTCCAGTGGCATGTTAATTGTAAATAACAACACTGCAACCGCATAAATCAACTGTCAGGGTGGTCAACGCTCCCACTGCATGTCGCAACTCACTTGCCATCTCCTCTTATGGAGTCAGAAGCATCTGAGGTCGCTTCATCCCATTCACAACCCGGGCGAGCCGAATCGTGCAGCCGACGAGCTCTCATGACATTGCTCTCGGCCCGGGGAGTGGAGACAGCTGATTTGGGAACGCTTGGGAGACGCACAGGTAGATCTGTTCGCCTCTCCAGACTCTTCCCACTGCCAGTGGTTTTAACTCCCTGACTGAGGGGACCCTCTGCACGGATGCTCTGGCACACAGCTGGCCGCGGGGCCTTCGCAAGTATGCGTTTCCCCCAGTGAGCCTGCTCGCACAGACCTTGTGCAAGATCAGGGAGGATGAGGAGCAGGTCCTCATGGTCGCGCCCTATTGGCCCAGCCGGACCTGGTTCCCAGAACTTGTACTCCTCGCGACAGCCCCTCCCTGGCCAATTCCTTTGAGGAAGGACCTCCTTTCTCAGAGAGGGGCACCCTATGGTACCCATGTCCCGATCTTTGGAACATACACGTGTGGGTCCTGGACAGGACGGTGGAAGGTTTAAGTACTTTGCCACCTCAGGTGGTAACTACTATCACTTCGGCTAGAGCCCTGTCCACCTGACACGCCTATACCTTGAAGTGAAACCTCTTCGTCACCTGGTGCTCTTCTTGCCGAAAAGACCCCTGGAAATGTCAGATCGGGTCAGTGCTCTCCTTCCTTCAAGAAGGTTTGGAAAGAAGGCTGTCTCCTTCCACCCTCAAGGTCTATGTGGCTGCCATTTCAGCTCACCATGATTTGGTTGACTCTAAGCCAGTAGGGAAGCACGACCTGGTCATCATGGTCTTTAGAGGAGCTAGGAGGCTCAATCCACTCTGTCCTCAGCAGATACCCTCTTGGGATCGCTGTGGTTCTATCTGCATTGCAGAGACCTCCCTTTGAGCCATTGCTCACAGTGGAGCCTAAGTTCCTCTCTTTGAAGACGGCGCTCCTGGCGGCTCTGGCCTCAGGTAAGAGGGTAGGGGACCTGCAGGCATTTTCAGTTGACGAAGCGCGCCTGGAATTCGGGCCGGCTAACTCTCACGTGATCCTGAGACCCCGGCCGGGTTATGTACCCAAAGTTCCCACCACTCCCTTCAGGGATCAGGTGGTGAACTTGCAAGCGCCTGGAGGAGGCAGACCCAGCCCTAGCACTGCTCTGTCTTGTCCAGTACGCGCCCTCCGCGCTTATGTAGATAGAACTCAGTGTTTTAGGACCTCAGACCAGCTCTTTGTCTGTTACGGAGGCCAGCAGAAGGGAAAGGCTGTCTCCAAGCAGAGGTTGTCCCACTGGATAGTGGATGCTATTACCTTGGCTTACCAAGTCCAAGGACTGATTTCCTCAGGTGAGTTCCACAGTTCTGAACCCTGGGTTCCTTTAGCACTGTTGACGTCTAACACCTGTGTGCTGCCCAGTTGGCCAGCCCTCGTGTCGGATTAGGTGCCTTCATGTTTTGCAATTCCCCTGCTTGTGCAATCCCACGTGTGTATTTCCACAGTAAGTCTCCTCTGGTAGCACGTGTCTTTCCCTTGGCAAGACCACTCTTGCCTCTCTGGGGTTGAAATAGTCTCCACCCTCTGGCTGGGTACCTCAGAGATCTTCCATATGTATTCCGCCTAGGTGGTTCATATATGTATTCCTAAGTCCTCCCTACGGGTAGGCATCATCCTTGCATTTTCCTCATGGAATTTGCTACCCATTGTACTTTGGTAATTCTTGCGTTTAGCCTAGCCCTTCGCTTGTGCTGGCCTTATACACTCACCGGCCACTTTATTAGGTACCCCATGCTAGTAACGGGTTGGACCCCCTTTTGCCTTCAGAACTGCCTCAATTCTTCGTGGCATAGATTCAACAAGGTGCTGGAAGCATTCCTCAGGGAGTTTGGTCCATATTGACATGATGGCATCACACAGTTGCCGCAGATTTGTCGGCTGCACATCCATGATGCGAATCTCCCGTTCCACCACATCCCAAAGATGTTCTATTGGGTTGAGATCTGGTGACTGTGGAGGCCATTTTAGTACAGTGAACTCATTCATGCTTACTATATAAGTATATGGAGACTGCAAAAACATCAGTAACAACTTCATAAACTGCAGTATTCAAGACTTATAGAAAACTTATAAAAGACCGTACAACTGTGACTAAAGCATGACACTCATGTCAAAGTCCACATTTAAACCTTTAGGATGCAAGGCGTCCAGAGTATGAATCCAGTAAAGTTCCCTTTGGCATAGCACTTTATCAATATTGCCACCTCTAGGTAATTTAATCTGCTCAATTCCCTGAAAACGAAGAGAAGAAACTGAATGAGCAACCTCTGTAAAGTGACAGGCCACAGGGTAGTTAGGGTCAGCACGTCAAATCGAGCTTTTATGCTCACTGATCCTCTGTTTTAAACTACGTGTGGTCTTTCCCACATACACCATATCACAAGGGCATCTTAAAATGTAGACAACATTCTTAGTTTTACATGTAATAATGCCCTTCACATTGTAGCTCTTACCAGATCTAGGATGTTTAAAGTTATAGGTCTTGTGTGTGTTATTACATTGGGCACAATTCCCACAGGGATAGTTCCCATCCCTAAGGGGTGCTAAGAGTGTAAACACTCTTTGCAGTCTCTTTGCAGTCTTTGGGAACTGCAAAGAGACTGCAAAGAGAATTGGGAACTTTGCAGTCTCCATATACTTATATAGTAAGCATGAATGAATGTGTGTGTATATATATATGCGCCTCTATATATATTTTTTGTATATTTTTTGTATATGTATACTTATGTCGGTTTCTTGTAGTGCGATTTTTCATTTTTCTTTGTCTTTTTTCCATTTTGTTTTTTCACTATGTGGAGTTAGTGTTGATCACCTAAAAACTACAACTCCCACTATTGGACTACAACTGGTCATACCTGGCCTCTGCAGGTGTGGGTTATTATTGTTGATTGTCCTGATGTGTTTTGAACACAGTTAAATGGAATGTGACATTTAGTTTTTGTATGCCCTGAGGATGGTCTTGTGACCGAAAGCTTGGCGATTAAAATTGCTTTAAAGGATTCAAGTGTGCAGACAGTTTATTTATTTTCTGAGTTGTTTAGTTGTGTCTGCCTGGCACCTTGTTTATCGTGAGTGCGGTGAAACGCCTTTAAAGTACAGTGAACTCATTGTCATGTTCAAGAAACCAATTTGAAATGATTAGAGCTTTGTGACATGGTGGAAGTAGCCATCAGAGGATGGGTACATGGTGGCCATAAAGGGATGGACATGGTCAGAAACAATGCTCAGGTAGGCCGTGGCATTTAAACGATGCCCAATTGGCACTAAGGGGCCTAAAGTGTGCCAGGAAAACATCCCCCACACCATTACACCACCACCACCAGCCTGCACAGTGGTAACAAGGCATGATGGTTCCATGTTCTCATTCTGTTTACGCCAAATTCTGACTCTAACATCTGAATGTCTCAACAGAAATCGAGACTCATCAGACCAGGCAACATTTTTCCAGTCTTCAACTGTTCAATTTTGGTGAGCTCTTGCAAATTGTAGCCTCTTTTTCCTATTTGTAGTGGAGATGAGTGGTACCCGGTGGAGTCTTCTGCTGTTGTAGCCCATCCGCCTCAAGGTTGTGCGTGTTGTGGCTTCACAAATGCTTTGCTGCATACCTCGGTTGTAACGAGTGGTTATTTCAGTCACTGTTGCCCTTCTATCAGCTCGAACCAGTCTGGCCATTCTCCTCTGACCTCTGGCATCAACAAGGCATTTCCGCCCACAGAACTGCCGCTCACTGGATGTTTTTTCTTTTTCGGACCATTCTCTGTAAACCCTAGAGATGGTTGTGCGTGAAAATCCCAGTCACTCAAATCAACTTTCTTCCCCATACTGATGCTCGGTTTGAACTGCAGGAGATTGTCTTGACCCTGTCTACATGCCTAAATGCACTGAGTTGCCGCCATGTGATTGGCTGCTTAGAAATTAAGTGTTAACGAGCAGTTGGACAGGTGTACCTAATAAAGTGGCCGGTGAGTGTATAGCTCCTTATATACTACACAGCGGGGCGGAGCTCGCAATGCAAATTCCGGTGACCAAAGTACTTTGCATACCATTGGCTCGTTTTTTACAACTCAAAGGTGATTGGGCTCTCGGGCGAGACCCCATTCGCCAGACGTTCTGACATAACGTCTCCGTTCCCTCCTTCAGGGAACGAGGGTTACATACGTAACCGAGATGTTCCGTTTTGTTCTCCAAATCTCAGCATGATTACAAATGTGATATTGATTTTATACACCAGTTCAATAAACATGTTAATATTATTAAGTAACTTTTAAGAGACAATATTGCCTTTTTTTGCTCTTTCACCAACGAAAATAGTTTCAAACTAACAAAACCACAGGACTGTTTTGCTTCTCTGAGCAACACATGGCAGTGTTTTGTTACTAAAAAATGATCGAATCATTTGAACAAATGATTCAATGAGTAAAATGCTTTGTTACTGAATGAATCAGCCGTTTGAATGAAATGACTCACTCATTAACAGTGACTTGCTGCCATCTACTGGCAGTTTAAATTTAACAATTAAGGTATCTTTCAATTTTTAAAATAATTTCTAATATCAATATTCAACGTTTTATGTTTAAAACATCAAAACATTATTTATGCATTTGTAACTGTGTAAATGTCCCTCTGAGCTGCATTGAACATATAAATGATACTGATTACTGATTATTATTCTAATATAATTTGATTTAATGTAAAAATGTAGGAATTTGACAAACGAATGATGCATGCATTTAATTAGGTAAAAAAAATGGCTTTATAAAGGAAAAAGATGATTTCCTGAACGGAGGCGCGGCTCAATGAGACACAGAGATATATCAAATAATTAACTGTAATGTTAGTACACGGTAACATTCAGTGGTAAGAAGCAAAGCAAGATCTAGCAGAAGCTCTTTTCATAAGCATTTCACAAGTCTTTTCAAAGAGATGCACAATAAACAAAACGTCATACCAGAAGGATCACGCCATGGCTTTTCAAATTAATCTGAAACGGTGATCAATTATAATCTTAGCAAAGTTTTTTGCATAACAAAAATCACCCTCTGTCAGCAACGCTCGGTTTTGAATATGCACCGTCTCCTTTAAAGGCTCGTTCACACCAAGGATGAAAGTTATAAAGGTATAGCTTTAAAAATCATTTAAAATGTAAAATAAAAGTCCACACCACAACTATAACAATAACAGCACAGAGGAATGAGAAATCACTTTCAGAAAGATTCAGAAGGTTTAGGACTGTCGTGGACAGCTGACTCCTAAAGTTTTTGATATTCTTCTTATTCTGTGTGATGGTCAGTTCGCAGCAGAGACGGAAATCATCTTTTTCCTTTCCATTCCACAGCTTGCAGCCAGCTAGCAGACTGGCCGGCGGGAATCACTTTTGGAGTCATTTCAGCAGGAGATCGGATATCTCCGCAGGTTGGATCGGGAAAATCCGATACATGAATTACGCTGGTATCGGTCCTGGTCCCGATACTGGATCGGATCGGCCCCATACCTGTGGGCCATAGGCATGCTCGTCAACATCGGAGAACTCGGTTTCTTCATTCACATCCATTGTAACCTGAGCTTGAACTTGACCAGACTCCCTCGCCCATCGTCACTTCCGGTTAGTGCTTTATAGATGCGGAAGTTATTTTATCACAATTTATCTCAAAATATCGTTAATGGCTAAATATATATTACTCCAGTTCAGAAAATCTAGTTGTTTTATCATCAACATACACTATGCTATATAGGGGTGTCCAACCTGCACGTTGCTCTTTAAAACCTACTCATACCTCCAAACCTGTCCTAACCATAGACTGGATCCCAAATCGCCCCCGATAGCCTCAAATAGGCCACTATTTGAGGGAACGGCCATTTGTAGTGGTGTCCGAAACCATAGTGTACGTTATTTAGTGCACTCATTCTATCCCACAATGCACCGCAATAACGAGTACAGCCGATGTACGCTCAACGACTGTCCGAGTTCGCTCCCTCGTTCTCATTTACTCCTTCAGGTGAACCGTATTAGTGGACTAACGTAGGGAGTAGGGATCGAAGGTTTAAAGGGATCGAAACTTGCCGGTCCAGGAAGTTATTAAAGACATCGTCCGGACTATAAAGAAATAGTCCCGAGTGACTACAGTGGCTCAATCTTAAGTTTATCAAGCGACGAGAATACTTTTTGTGCGGAAAAAAACAAACAAAAATAACGACTTTATTCAACTATTGATTTTCTTCTCTGTGGGCCTCGAGTGAGTTCGCGTAGTGTAACAGTGCAGCGCTTCTGGTGTACGTCACACACATGACCAGCGTCGGCCAATAGTGAGCCTGCGTGTGACGTACAACCCAGGAGCGCTGCGCTGTTACACTACGCGAACTATCTCGAGGCCCACAGAGAAGATGATGAATAGTTGAATAAAGTCATTATTTTTGTTTTGTTTTTGCGCACTAAGTGAGTACAACATGAGGGAGACAGAATTAAAATTTTTGGGTGCACTAACCCTTTAAGTTTACTGCAGAAACACTCATTATGGCTGTGTGAAATAAACAGTTATGGAAATGTAGAAATTAAAGTTAAAGCTTCAATCTCCTCCTCCCGAAGAGAAAAAAAGTGTGTGACAGTACTACACCAGAGAAGCTGTCAATCATGACGTCACAAACTAAAACCTAAAGAACGAACACTTGAACTGACATCAGAGTGATAAAAAAAAACGCCTAAAATGACACACAAACATCTTTGGAAAAAGTGATTTGAAAGTGTTCATTTGATTATTTTGTCTCACGTCCCATTCCATTACATGGAGAGGATTAAGAGCTATACTGCATCCAGCCAGAAGAATATGGGTAACCAGACAGTTGAAGGACCTCATTGACTTCTATTGTAAAGAAAAAAACAACAACTATATATATATTTTGTAAATCATGAACTATCCCATTCAAGTTTATACATTTACATGTAAGCAAGACCTTCTATATTGAGTTTCCCAGTGATCACAAGCATCTTGCATCACCTTTCAACAACAAGCTGAAACAATGAAATCATCATCAATCATGAACTTTAATAAACTTTTATTTATGTACATCACAATATACAAACAAATCTGTACATAAATACTCCAATTCACCAAAAAGTAAGGCTAAAATATTTTAAAATACCTCAAAAAAACTTTTTGCCAGAAAAGTGACATTAGGTGTAAAAATTAGACGTCACTCAAAAAAAACAGATGCATATTAGAATAGAAATTATTACAAATCTAAGAAACTAAAACATCCAGATTTTGTCCCCCTGACATTCTTTATAAATTTCCAAAAACGTTTGGTTCAAATACATTTTAACTTGTAAATTGCTCAGGCGAGAGAGAGAGAGAGAGAGAGAGAGAGAGAGAGAGAGAGAGAGAGAGAGAGAGAGAGAGAGAGAGAGAGAGAGAGAGAGAGAGAGAGAGAGAGAGAGAGCAGTGATGGAGTAACCCTGAAGCTGACGGTTAGTGATGAACACGCATCTAACAAACTTTATCCTCCCCTCCAACATTTAAAAACATGTAAATGTTTAGCACCAAACCAAGTGTTCATGTGGGAAACGCTGAGGGAGACGGAACAGATAAAAGAGTAATTTGCATATTTCGAGAGGTGTGTGTGTGTGTGAACTGAATCCTCCAGTTTTCCTGAGCTCCTGAAGGCAGAACGAGCCGTGCGCTCTCAAGGCAGAACCGACGGTGGTGAAGCAGCAGGTTTATCTCTAAAGACTGATGATAACACTTCAGTACAAGAACCTCGATACACAACGATAACAAATTAAAAGATATCAGAGATAGTTTCTGGCATTTGGTGATGACTTCAAACTCTAGCTGCCACGAGAAGAAACCATTCCTCATTGACATCGGTTATAAAAATGCCCACTTAAAACAAGAGAACAATCTTTGGCAGACACATTTAAATACACAATCTCTGTGCTTTGGTTACTGAATAATGTCATAAACTGTGACTGTGTGTGTGTGTGTGTGTCTTATAGGAAAAATTCACTTAAAAAATGTTTATTCAGTCATCATTTACTCGCCCGCAAGTTGTTCCAAACCTGTGTGAGTTTCTTTCTTCTGCCGAACACAAAAGAAGATATTTTGAAGAGTGTCGGTAGCCAAAACTGTTGTTGGACCCCATTGACTTCCATAGCAGGAAACAAAATACTATACGAGTCAATGGGGTCCAACAACTGTCTGGTTTCCCACATTCTTCAAAATATCTTTGTGTTCGGCAGAAGAGAGAAACTCACACAGGTTTGGAACAACTTGAGGGCGAGTAAATGATGACAGAAATGACATTTTTGAGCGAACTGCTCCTTTAAATCAGGATAAATTTACTGGAGAAGCAAAATAACTGAAGATATTTTTGTTTTCATAAAAAAATCATAAAAATTGAGTTTGTACTTAAAAAAACAAGAACAATATCTGCCAGCTGGGTCTTAATTCAAAGGGTTATTTCTTTTTTTTTGACCCCGCTGGCAGATTTTGTTCTTTTTTTAAGCACTTAATTTGTGTCCGAAAACAAGACTTAATATCATCTAGCTTCTCCAGTGAGTGTGTCTGGATTTAGGAGTATGTACTGTAAGGCTAGACAGAACCAGTGCGAGATGAGCGCCGTGTGTGTGTGAAACGGACTGGTGTGAGCAGGAGGAGCGTGGCCCGCTCAGGCCTGCTGCTGGTACTGGCAGGCGGGCTGCAGTTTGGTCACCTGACCGATGCCTTTGGTCACGCCCTCTCGGAAGAGCAGCTTGGCTCCCAGCTTCAGATACTCCGGGTGTTTGATGAACCTGAAGCCGACCACAGCCTTCTCTCCGGTGCGCAGCTCGTCCTGAAGCACAGCACAACGTCAGTCTTGCTTTCCCGTTCTCTAGAGATTCATCCTGGACAACTACTGTTGGTTTTATTGTGCTATATAAATAAAAGTTGATTGATTACTTATTGAACCTTTTATTGATCCACAGACGAGTGAGTGATGCGAACAAAACCTTATAATCGAGATACGTCATTCTATTTCACAATAACAATATAGTTACTTTGCCTGGAAATAGGGTTGTTATGAGGGCTGTCAAAATGGCTGAAAAGCTTTCTTAAATATTAGCAAAAGTCGCATTATATTTGAATTCTAAAGGCAAAAAGTGCTGTGTTGTCTCCTGTGTCCACAAGAGGGCGACACAAGCAAATATAAACCACATAAAGCATCGCATCTTTTAGAGAAATTAAACGACATTCACTTTTTAAAGTGCATTAACTTTTGAAACAAGTGTTCTTATACAAAATATAATTTTCTTAATGTGCATGCATCTTTCTGTTTAGCAAGATAGACAATCGGATGATCTCGCTATATAGTTAGATATATACAGAAAGAGACAAAATACACAAACATCTAGTCTGATATAGACAGCCAGACTAACAGATATAGTTAAATCCAGCTTTTAATGTTGTTTATGTGTGTATGTGGTGTTTTTAATACGCTTTAAGACACACCATGTGTAAATTCATAAGTCGACAGCATTGCTGAGTATTTCCTCCTTAAAACTGCAGTGAACCAAAGACAGTCTCAAAAACACGGTTTGAAATCGCTGGTGTTTCTGACGTCACAAACGACCTTGTAACCAATCAGATCAACGTGTGATCGTCAACCAGTGGATCTCTGAGCTGAGTGAGTGAGTGGAGGCGGGGCTCATTTGCATATTCATAAAACCGCGTATACTAAATGAGGCGAGGGTGTCGAGTTACATTCAAGATATTTTAAGGCATGAAGACATTTTTTTCAAATGTAATTTTGGTGATCAAAGATGAGCTTTAAGTTTATCTAACTATCTGTCAGACAGACGGATCAAAACTACTCACCTTTCCTTGCAGAGCCTCAACTGTGGCCGTCTGTCTAACGTTGCCCACATGAACGGTCACCTGGAAGCCCTTGTGGAAAGTTTTGGCATGGAAGAGCAAGACGATCTCTGCCTCAAAGCGCCAGCAGATATCGGGGTTCATCTCGGGACTCACCATCACCAATCCCTGCCAGAGGACAAACAAACACACCAAAACAAATATCAAATATCATCCTATGTTTAAATCTAGATTAAATCAAGGTTTATCAAATAATTCTGTTGCACCAAACTTCAAAATTTGTTTTAATTTCTCTTCTCTGATGATGTGGGCGGGGCAAACTGTCACTCACATGAGATCCTCCAATAGCAAACCACAACCATCCAACCAACTCCCCCACGGATTACGTAATCAGGTCAAGCGTGTTCCGGTTCAGAAATGAAGAGTAGAGCGAAAAACTCCCTCTCATTTTCTCCTCCAACTTCAAAATCGTCCGATATCGTTGTTTTACCTTTAATTTTTTTTTTTTTATGGTAAATGGCGTTTGACTCAGTCTTTGCACGTCCTTTTTGTAAACACTGTGTCTGTTCTTCCTCCTACGTCCCGCTTGACCTTTCAACCTGATCACGTAATGTGTGTCGCATCACAGCTAGAGCAAGACCAGCATTAGTGGTTAAAAGTATATAAATGTTTATTTTGTTATAAATGTCCGCTGGTTTGTCTAGATCAGACTCTTATTCCTCGGCTGGATCGTGTCGAGACTTTGAAGCTGCACTGAAACTCACATCTGGACCTTCGACCCGTTGGACCCCATTGAAGTCACTATATGGAGAAACATCCTGGAATGTTTTCCTCAAAAACCTTCATTTCTGTTCCACTGAAGAAAGAAAGTCATGAACATCTTGGATGACGTGGAGGAGAGTAAATCATCAGGAAATTGTTATTCTGAAGTGAACGACTCCTTTAATGTTACTGGTGCGATCCTCCCCTAGTGTAACAGCTCAGATTCAGTATCTTCTGCATCCACCAATAGAAATGCTCACCTTGCGTAAGAACGAGCGGTCGAAGTCTCCGATTGCCAGAGTAGCGGCCTGTCCCGCTCTGAGGACCCGACAGCCGGAGCGATTCCTCTGGATACTGAGGACCGTCAGCTCCCGAAACTCCCCGTCATCCGTGGGTCCGACCACCAGCTGCTCCCCCTCGCGGCAGATCCCGCTGCACACACACACACACACACACACACACACACACACACACACACACACACACACACACACACACACACACAATCTCATTAGCATTAGCTTCAGCCTGAGGCTAATTATTCCTCTTACAGTGTGAAAGGGTCTTTACATTTGCCCCAAAATATAACCTTTTTGTTATTAAAAAAACAAGCCCAAGTAACGCGAAAAAGTAACGTAATGCATTACTTTTCTAAAAAGGTAACTAAGTAACGCAATTAGTTACTTTTAAAGGGAGTGACACAATATTGTAATGCATTACTTTTCAACATAACTTTCCCCAACACTGGTGATTAGACACGAACGGCGTGTGTTTGGACACCACCGTCAATAGAGGAGAGAAGAGGACGTACCTGTAAAGAGTCCCGCCAACCACTGTCCCCACATCTGGCACGGTATAGATCTCATCAATCTACAGCACACACACACACACATTCATCAAAGAGGTGCACTATCCATCCGTCTGTCTGTCGGGTTAAATATCTCTATATACTCAGAGAATACAATGAAATTTCAGTTTTGGAGGGAAAAAAAGTCATTGACTGAAATAGTGCTCCTCCAATGGCACGTTTCGTGGCACAACATGGACAACCTACAACAGCTGTGTGGACTTTTAATTGATCTTCATCAGTATTTATAGCGCATGCCATCTGATAATAGCTATAAGCTTTGTTACTTTGATATGAAACAAAGTCTGAGCTTTTAAATTCTGTCCATTTTGATAGAACATCTCTTCCTCTTTACTACTAGTTACAGCAGCAAATACACATCAGTGAACATCAGCAGGAGTGTTGAAACATACAGAACAATTTACTGAAATCAATCTCATGTAACCCATCCATCAGTGTTTCAGCCGTCAGTAAAACAGCTGGAGAACAATCCTGTCACATTCACCTCAGAAAAACCATTCAGAGTCCATGAACTCGATATTTAGTTCGAAAAATAACTCTAGAGAGGAGCGTTCAGATTTACTGAATATGGAATATAGTGCATATATTTATTTTACTTAACCTGTTTTTTAATGTGTGACTGAATAAATTAAAATAAACGAATAAATGCCTTGAAAATAAGTTGTTATTATTAGTCACCACTTAAATGTGTATATTTCCAAAAATTGGAGTAGAAACAATTATATAATTCAAAAAGTTGATATAAAATGCTTGTGCGCAATTTACATTTTTTAATTTAACACAAGTTTGTATTTGAGTGTTAAATCATTAAATCTGATTAACTGTTTTTGCCCTTTTTCGGCTAAATAAAAACGTTCATATTGGTTTTTAATGTTTTGGTAATAAAGCTCCGTCTCCAAATCACTAGAAATAAGCATTGTGATGAATATGTCCTTGTGCTCAGCAGAAGTCAGTCAAGCCCCTTTCACACAGAGATTCCGGAAAATACACGGATAAAGTGACCCGGGATTTGACCCGGGTTCGTTTGATTTTGCTTCATTCACACTGCCAGTGGTTTGCCGGAATCAGACAGCGCGTTCACACTAGGGGTGGGAATCACCAGAGGCACCACGATACGATATTATCCCGATACTTAGGTCACGATACGATATAATCCCGATACTTAGGTCACGATACGATATTATCCCGATACTTAGGTCACGATACGATATTATCCCGATACTTAGGTCACGATACGATATTATCCCGATTCTTAGGTCACGATACGATATTATCCCGATACTTAGGTCACGATACGATATTATCCCGATACTTAGGTCACGATACGATATTATCCCGATACTTAGGTCACGATACGATATTATCCCGATACTTAGGTCACGATACGATATTATCCCGATACTTAGGTCACGATACGATATTATCCCGATACTTAGGTCACGATACGATATTATCCCGATACTTAGGTCACGATACGATATTATCCCGATACTTAGGTCACGATACGATATTATCCCGATACTTAGGTCACGATACGATATAATCCCGATACTTAGGTCACGATACAATATTATCCCGATACTTAGGTCACGATACGATATTATCCCGATACTTAGGTCACGATACGATATTATCCCGATACTTAGGTCACGATACGATATTATCCCGATACTTAGGTCACGATACGATATTATCCCGATACTTAGGTCACGATACGATATTATCCCGATACTTAGGTCACGATACGATATTATCCCGATACTTAGGTCACGATACGATATTATCCCGATACTTAGGTCACGATACGATATTATCCCGATACTTAGGTCACGATACGATATTATCCCGATACTTAGGTCACGATACGATATTATCCCGATACTTAGGTCACGATACGATATTATCCCGATACTTAGGTCACGATACGATATTATCCCGATACTTAGGTCACGATACGATATTATCCCGATACTTAGGTCACGATACGATATTATCCCGATACTTAGGTCACGATACGATATTATTGCGATTTTAAACATATTGCGATATTCTGCAATATATTGCAATTTATTACCTTTATTCAACTTCAATTTGTGCATTTTTTCCAAACAAAATTATTACATTTATATCGCCGAAATGTTTGCGCTCATTGCAATTTTTACAATGGGGGTAATATTGTTAAGAATTTACACATCACAAGGAAGCTTGATTTTAAATTGTTTAATTAAATTGAAAAAAGTAGCACAAATAAATACAATAGAATGAAGACAAATAAAGAGAAAAGTTTTTGAATAGGTATAACACTAGTATTCATCATATACAGAAACTGAATAAAGTAATCAAATGGAAAATAACACTGGGTGGTATTTTAGTCCTGAATAAATTAGCCTAAACACATAGGCTATTAATCCTGATTCCTTTAACTTAAAGCTATCTTTTTTTTTTTTTTTTTACAACAAAATTAATGACAGACGCATATGGCTGCCGTCACTTTAAGAGCTAGTGCACGGATCCTGTGTTCATTATACTGGCATGCGTTTTATGCTTAGGCCTATTAAAGACAAAACCGACTATGTTTAGAGTATAGCCTACTCACAAAGACCGAAATTGACAATATATTATTAAAAATAGTTACTGGCCTGCTGTTTTTGAGGCGGATTTTCTATGAATGTGCGCATAGAAAATAATCTCAGAGAGCGCGCGAGCACTGATTAGTTTAAAATCGCTTGAATGTTTAAACTGGTAAGACTTAAAAAGACTTCAGTCACGATGCACTGCTGGCCCGATTGTGCAAGTGAATATTCCGTCATGTCCCGACTCCTAAACGCGAGTGTGTGTTATCGCCGCAGCGCTTGATGCTTGCCTTGCACAACACATTTTGAGAGAAGAGATAGAAGACGCGGCACCGCTGAACACTCACGCAGACACGCACTCTACTACCAAAGTTAAATTCTCATGTGTAGCTAATTTAAATAATAAAAGATCGATACTTGGCGCCCGTGTATCGATACAGTATTGCCACAGAAAATATCGCGATACTATGCTGTATCGATTTTTTCTCCCACCTCTAGTTCACACACAACCCGTGTATGTTCCGGAAAGACGCGTGGCGTTGGATGTGACGGGTCTCTACTTCAGTCCAGTTTGCAGACATTTTTTCGTTCTTTCTTCTATCGATGACGAACACAAACTTTCTTCTAGAGGAACTGAGCCGCACGATAACTACGTCATTGCAAAGGCTCGTGAATCCTCACTACGACACACCCCTTATACGGCATTGGTTCTGGCTTTTGTTCACACAGCGTGCGTTCCGGGTCTGAACACGGCAATGTTACTAGATCCTCAACCCGGCATCGATCCCGGGTCGTGTTTGCGTTCACACAGAAGGCAATTTGCCGGGTTCAAAGCGCTGTGTGAAAGGGGCTTCAGTCTCACAGGTGTGCAGTGATGCCGGTTTCCCGGATAACCCCAGCGTGAGCGAGGACATCGGAGCTGTACCTGGAACTCGGTGAGCTGCTGCATGAGCTCCTCCTGCTCCTTGCTGTTGCTGAGGGGAGGGAGGATATTGAAGAAGACCTTCAGCACATCGAGACTCTCGCCCGACACGCTGGACAGGGTGAAGATGGGGGTGATGCTGGAACACAACAGGCTCTGATCAGGCCGTTTACAGACATCTTCTTCTTTCATCTTTGTGATTGTAAAGCTAGGTTTGTCATTCTCTATAGAGGCTTTCGCTCCGGGGAGTTATGGGTACGAGCCTCCAGGGTGTTTCCCCGAGAACTAATGGATCCCTTAGGAACGTTTTCCTGGTTGCGTTCGCGCCGCGAGGAGTAACTCTGAAGTGACGGGAGACTCGTTTATTGTGACGGCGCTGAGAACAGCAGAGCTCGCATTCTCCGTGTTCATTAGTTTACGATCTGTCTAATACGTTATCAGATAGAACTGTTATACATAAAGTAGACCGTAATGAACAGTTATTAGCGTATGGCGTGTGGTGATGTCCAGTGACGCTGAGCAGAAACACATAATCATGTTTCTCTTGGTCTCCTCAGTTGCGTTGGGTTTTCTCCTCAGCGTAAAGGTTTAGAGCTTCATCTATCACTGTTTTACATGTTCGTAGAGTTAGTTTCTGGAGTAAATATATAGGCTATAATCTGTGTGTTTACACAGCCTTTTCAAAATGGCGGGTGCTGGTGTTTCGGCCAATCAGCGAACACTAACGTCACTGTAGTTCCTATAGTGCCGGTTTAGACCCGACTCTGAAGTATGAGTAAATTAGTTCCTCCGAAAGAGTTCCTAGAACTAAAATCGTTCCTCGTTCCTGCGGTGCGAACACGCCAAAATCCTGGAACTCAAAAGGTTCAATCAATCAACTTTTATTTAAATAGCGCACTAAAAGCAACAGTAGTTGGCCATTGTGCTCTACAACTAAATATCCAAAAAACAAGAAAGACCGCAACACAAATGATTAAGGGAGTTGACATCGAAAACACCAATCAGAAAATGTAAAGGTTCCTCCAGAGCGAAAGCCTCTATAGTCAAGCTGTGCTGTGCTGTTACTGTGGGTTTATATGGACCTCGGGGACTGAGCATTTATTAAAAGGCTGTGTAACACGCATATTATAGCCTATATATTTACTCCAGAAACTAACTCTATGAACATGTAAAACAGTGATAGATGAAGCTCTAAACCTTAACGCTGAGGAGAAAACCCAATGCAACTGAGGAGACCAAGAGAAACATGATTATGTGTTTCTGCTCAGCATCACTGGACATCACCACACTGCATACGCTAATAACTGTTCATTACTGTCTACTTTATGTATAACAGTTCTATCTGATAACGTATTAGACAGATCGTGAACTAATGAACACGGAGAATGTGAGCTCTGTCGTTCTCAGCCCGTCACAATGAAAGTCAAGCGAGTCTCCCGTCACTTCAGAGTTACTCCTCGCGGCGCGAACGCAACCAGGAAAAGTTCCTAAGGGATCCATTAGTTCTCGGGGAAACACCCTGGAGGCTCGTACCCATAACTCCCGGAGCGGAAGCCTCTATAGTCAAGCTTTGCTGTGGTGTAACTGTGTTTATGAGTACCTCGGGGACTGAGCGAACTCCTGCGCGGCAGTGACGGCGTCGTCGGCCGAGGACACTAGCATGGGCACCTTGTTGCAGCCGGGCTGCTTGAGGATCCGCTCCAGCTGCCGGACCGTTCGCTCCACGGTGCCCTTGGCACACAGGTCCACTTTACTCACCACGATGAAGATCGGCACCTTCAGCGCCATGGCCAGACCCAAGTGCTCACGCGTCGTACCCGCTAGGAGAAGAACGAGAGGGAACGCCACACATCAGAGGCGTGGATGACACAAAAGCTTCGGAAAACAAGGAACTTAAAGTGCCCCAGTGGTGAAAATCAAGCTTTTAATGTTGTTTATATGTCGATGTGGTGTTTTTAATATGCTTTAAGGGGTCATCGGATGCCCGTTTTACACAAGTTGGTGTGATTCTTTAGGGTCTTCATGTAAAGTGTGTGATATACTTTGGTTAAAATTCCTCAATGGTTGTGTAAAACAACAGCCTTTCACCTCCTCAAGAACAGCTCTGTCCACAGCGAGCCGTTTCGGTGCATGTCTCTTTAAATGATAATGAGCAACTGATCACCCCATGACATCATATTGCTCAGAAAATCCAAACGCTTGATTATTGAGTGTGTTTCGGCTTTTTGAGGATTAAAAAAAAGGAATGGATTTTTTTCATTGTATGGTGGTTGTGTCCACACACTGCGAAGACACGATGCAAACACCATATAAAAGTGAAAAGTGACCCCTTTGTGTAAGTTCATAAGTCGACAGCATTGCTGAGTATTTCCTCCTTAAAACTGCAGTGAACCAAAGACAGTCTCAAAAACACGGTTTGAAATCACTGGTGTTTCTGACGTCACAAACGACCTTGTAACCAATCAGATCAACGTGTGATCGTCAACCAGTGGATCTCTGAGCTGAGGGAGTGAGTGGAGGCGGGGCTCATTTGCATATTCATAGAACCGCGCATACTAAATGAGGCGAGGGTGTCGAGTTACATTCAAGATATATATTTTTTTTAATTTGTCATTTTGGTGATCAAAGATGAGTTTTAAGGGATACAATTATTGACTACAAGTTTACGTACTTTAAATTCCCTCATTATGCCTTTTCGAGGATTCTCTTTTATGTAGTGTGTGATAAAGCTGTTTGTGAGTATATATTGTGAGTTTTTGTCTCCTAAAAGAAAGAAGTGATTCTGAACTGAAGCGAGTCGTCAGTAATTCAGTCTCACTTCCTGATGAACCTGTGTACGTTTGTGACTAATTTGCATAATGCCAGCCTGTGGTGTTGATTGGCTGATCAGCGTCTCTTAGCTCCGCCCTCAATCACTGTAGTGTATCTGAGACTGGGAGAGTTGGGTTCGTGTCGAGAAGACGCTGTTTTCTCATAAAAACTAAATTGAGCTGAATAATGACACTGTTGTCTTTCTAGAGCTGCTTTACAGCAGAATTTGATGAAGTTTGAGTGATTAATTAATAGTTATTTTCCTTGTTTATTACTGTGAAGCTGCTTTGAAACAATCCGTATAGTGTAAAGCACATAAAGGTGACTTGCCTTGAAAAGATACTCTGTGGCCATTAACTAATTCTCACAAAGCAAGAATCAGCATTAGTTAGTGCAGCAGGAGCAGTGTCTCGTCTGTCAAGTCAGCTTCATGTATACAGCGTGTGTGTGTGTGTGCGTGTGTGTGTGCGTGTGTGTGTGTGTGTGTGTGTGTGTGTGTGTGTGTGTGTGTGCGTGTATGCTTGCAAAAACAGCAGCAACATGTAAACAAACACGGAGGTCAAGGCTGGCGTATATTATGATTCATAAATAGATGTTCCGGAGCGAGACTCAGTTTGACCAGGTCAAGGTTGAAGTGATACCACATCATCATCTTGTGGGAAATACATGGAACATGTATGAAAAATATTATTATTAATATTTTGGTGACTACATTTCAGAGTCCTGTTCAGCATGAGCTATGCACTTATTATAGTAATGACAATAACTGGGTAATAACCCTGAATCTACCCGTCCCTTATATTACTCACTACTTTGAGAAAGTGCACAACACATATTAGAAAATAAAATGCAACTTAATATTTTAAAATCGGTCACTAGTTTATCACCTTTTTTTCAAATGCATTTACAGGTGAAACTCGAAAAATTTGTTTCAATAGTAGTGCAGTAATTCAACTTAAAAGGTGAAACTAATATATTATATAGACTCATTACATGCAAAGTGAGATATTTCAAGCCTTTATTTGTTGTAATTGTGATGATTATGGTTTACAGATATGAAAACCTTTTCACAATATTCTAATTTTGAATTTGGGATTTTCATAAGCTGTAAACCATAATCATCACAATTATAACAAATAAAGGCTTGAAATATCTCACTTTGCATGTAACGAGTCTATATAATATATTAGTTTCACCTTTTAAGTTGAATTACTGAACTTTTGCACGATATTCAAATTTTTCGAGTTTCACCTGTACATGTAATCATATTTCATGCAGCCAATAATCCCAGCTATACACTAAAGTGTAATTAAACACTTGTATATTTGAGATAGTAGCTTCATTGAAAAAGATTAGATCTATAAATAACGGTGAAGTGTGCAATTCTGAGCAGAATCTCAATATGTTTGATTGAGAATGACATTATCGGCTCAACCAATGGTGTAAGTTTGGGGCGGGACTCTTGGTTTTCCAAAATACTAAGTAAAGGTCCCTGCACACTCGCACGTTAAAAAATAAACACGACCTCAATCACGTTTACACACTGCCTCCGAAACTTTCGTCCGTCATTAAAAAAAATCGTATCGGGTTACATTTTCTGCGTTTTGACAACTCAGAGCCACCGTACAAGCGAACACCAGATCCAGAACTGTTCAGGATCAATTGGTTCGTGGAAATGACTGGTCTTGTTTTTATAATGTGACTCCAGTATCGCTGGCAGAGCATCAAACTGAGCCGAAGCTGAAGTAAACTTTGCATCTCTCGGGAGAATCCCGCAGCGAACTCTCCTTCCTCTCTACGCAATCAGGATCTGATGGACCCAATATTTCCTCTTTCTTTTCCTCTTTATAAGAAGAGAGAGGGCGACAACATCATCCTCACTTGCCATTTTGTATTGATGTGCGAATTCTTCCGCAACGGATTAACTAACACGCATCGGACTCAGTGTGCGAGGACCTTGCGTGTTTATCTTTGCTCTACTGTTGGATGGTTCAGGCCAATGCAACACTCATCAGAATGTGACCCAGGGTGTGTGTGTGTGTGTGTGTGTGTGTGTGTGTGTGTGTGTGTGTGTGTGTGTGTGTGTGTGTGTGTGTGTGTGTGTGTGTGTGTGTGTGTGTGTGTGTGTGTGTGTGTGTGTGTGTGTGTGTGATCAGCGTTCACAGGTCATCTGGAAGGCGTTAGTTGAGCATCACTTGTTTTGACAAGCTCACATCAGCTGATTCACACACACACAAGAGCATGAAGATATGCAGTGCAGGTCACGTCCAACACACACACACACACACACACACACACACAGACAGAGACACACACACACACACACACACAGAGACACACACACACAGAGACACACACAGAGACACACACACACGCACACACACACACACACACACACACACACACACACACACACACACACACACACACACACACACACACACACACACACACACACACACACACACAGACACAGACACAGACACAGACAGAGACACAGACAGACACACACACACACACACACACACACACACACACACACACAGACAGACACACACACACACACAAGAGCATGAAGATATACAGTGCAGGTCACGTCCAGCTGTCTCACACACACACACACAGACACACACACACACAGACAGACACACACACACACACACACACACACACACACACACACACACACACACACACACACAGATCTGTCCAAAGTTCACCCGTCATCTGAGGTTAATGATTGGAGGACTGGCCGAGTCTTGAGTGTGTTTGCATGGATCTGCTTATGGGAGAGTCCGACTCTGGAGTCTCTGAGACACCGCACACCCGTTCATAACTCCAGCGCTGGTGTCGAGTTCTCCTCGCAAGACTGGCATGACCCACTCGCACTAACCTCCTGTAGACACCGCACAAATTTGCATGAAATTTGCACAATATCACTCTTAAAAACTACATGGGACCGCTTAGCATATGGAAAATGCTCCATGATGTGACACAAACACAGCCAATCGGAGCATGTTTGGGTTTCGGGCCGATGTGATTTCAGTGTGAATGGATCAACACTGCAGAAATAGAAACCAAGCGGTGGGCAAACCGGGAACGGGACACAGATTCTGTTCTCCATCGTTAGAGTCAGAACATGATGTTGCTGTAAACTATATGTTGTTTCCCTGACTTTAACACTCATATCTGAGATTATTCATCTTCAAAGGTTTGATTTCTGTGCTCTAGCATTGCCAAAGTAACCCATGTCCATTTTCAAACCTTTTTCTTGAACATCTGCCCTTGTTTACCAAATATACCTCACGCCATTGGTTGAGCCAATGTTGTCCAAACGCTCAAACGACGCAATATTCGGATAACACTACAAAGCCTTCACTCTTTTCAAACGCATACTTCAATAAAACCTGGCTGCATATACAGTAGAAAAGGCTGTTGTCTTCCCTTTTGCCAAATAGACAGGAAAACTTCAACACCCATAATGCACTGGGCATGTTGGCGTCCAAGGCCACTCCCACCAGTCTGCTATATTGACTATATTTAAATTTAGTTATATTTGACTATATGTATTCTTGCTTTAGTAGGAAATACTTCTTAGCAAACTTTTCGTCACAATAGTGTTGACTGGTATTGTTCCCGGGTGCGAGAATTCAAGGAGTAAATGTTTAACGTGAGTGAGTTACTATGTTGAAGGCAGCGGTTTAAGGCTGCAAAGAATCGCGGATACAGTGAGAAAGCCACGACGGACAATCTGAGAATCCTCCGTGTGTGTAGTCAACATCTCAAACTGGATGATCACAAACCATAGACTGTATAAAACAATGGGTGTAGTGTGTGTGACGTCACCCGTAGTGTTTCCGAAGAGCCTTTTTGAAGCCCAAAGTGGGCGGAGCCGGTCGTCGCCATCTTGGAGGCCGAAAATGTGCAGCGAGGCGGATTAGCTGAGGTGACGTGACGCTAACACACAGCAGACAAACGGCTAGCAGTGACATCAGCGGTAATCCACCTGTCACTCAAGTGGCCACGCCCTTAATTATGCAGAACTTTAAGGCTTAATATAATTTAAACGGATGAGTTATTAAAAAAAATGCACCCCCTCACAGTCGTCATGAAGGGCAAAATAAGCAATATAGACCAAAAGCACTTTTTGCTCCAGGCTGTAAACGTGTGTTTTTCTGCTGTAAAGTTGGGCATTTTAACATGCGTGTCTATGGGATTGACTCTGTTCTGCAGCCGGCCTCTAGTGGCCAGTGGAGGAACTGCAGTTTAAGTCACTTCCGTGTTGATTCACGAGAGAGACCGGAAGGTTGCCGCTTGTCATGAACACAGTGTTTTAGGCCAAACGAAGGGGAAAAACTGAAAGAAACTGCCGTTCCTTCAGTTCCAGCCGAAGCAAAACGCCGTCACGTAAGAAAGCTGTTTCCTTAGCGTTTCATTTTTACCATAATGCTGTATAAATAGTAGACAGTACGATACGATTCTCAGTGATAAACCTACCTTTACAATAACGGCTTGGTTGATAACCCTCTGCCGAAGACTTTTCCTGACAAATAAACCTGAATTTATCGGCCCAGTTAATGACTAAACATTGTTCATTTGCAGTGATGGGAATAACACTGTTACTAACGGCATTACTTTTTCCAGTAACGAGTAATCTAATTGATGACTCTTCTCATCTTAATAACGCCGTTACCGTTACTGCCAAAAAATGCGGCGCGTTACTATAACTGATGAAGCTGTTTTATTTTTCATCAGACCAACTAGATCTCTGAGCGAGAGGCAAATACTTTTTTTACTGTTCTTCCTTGGTTAGTGGGCAGAGCACGAGACAAGCGCATAAATGCTGACGATTGGCTGAGGTGGAGTAAAATGTCATTGTAAGCCAATCAGAGGTAGAGTTGGGCGGGTGTTCGAAAGCACGCATAGTAGTGATGGGCGTTCGGCTCTTTTGACTCAGCTCACTGAAAAGAGCCGGCTCTTTTGGCTCACAAACGGCTCTTTAAATGACTTTAACTATGATATTTAAATTTTTATTACATAATTATTTAATTTCTATAGGCTAAATTTGTAAAAATAGAGTCGGCTCTTCAGATATGCGAGCCAGCTCCCGACGTTCACCTAAAAGAGCCGGCTCATTCGCGAACGAGTCGACCCATCATCGCGAACGGCTAACGCTCATGAACTGCGAACGACCCATCATAACACATAGTCGGACAGGGTAGAGGTGGGCTCACATTTGAGCATTTAAAATTTAATTTTACTTGAAAGTAACGCATTAGTTACTTTCTTAAGTAACTAGTTACTTTTAAAATTTGTAACTGAGTAACTAATTTAGTTACTTTTTGGAAGAAGTAACTAGTAACTGTAACTAATTACTTTTTAAAAGTAATTTGCCCAACACTGTTCATTTGCATATACTAACTGACTGACATTGTAATACAAAGCAGGTTAAAAATCTTTAAGTTGGAGTCGACCGATATATCAGCAGTAATTTGCAATTTTTTAATTATCGGCAGGTACGAATGTAGATACGGTGGCTTGAACAAAATCTCACAGGAACCTTGATTTTTTGTGAACCCAACTTGGTTAGAGATATATCTCAGATTTGATTTTATTTGTATGGGGGTTTATAGGGGGTGAGAGTGAAATGACACTGTGTCCTGCAGTCACAGACAGACTGACGCGTCTCAGGTTTCTCTATCCCTTTAACTCAAGCCCCCTTCGGTCCTGGCCCAGAGGTATTCTGGGGTGTGGAGGACAGAAGGAATGGGGGCGACACTTAAGACTGCATGACATAAGATCATATGCCGCCATTATTGAGTATCCAGGAGAACAGCTGATTTAAGAATGACGTGTCCAAACATCACAAGGTTTATTTGTGTCACTTGCCCTGCGTGATTTGACATTTATCAGGGCCGGCACTAATCTAAGATAAAGCAAACGGCAGGCCAATATTGCATAAGCCGTTACGCAACCCCAAACGCGCGTGAGAGCTTACCGATGCCCGTGTTGGCACTGACGACGAGCATGGCGAAGTCTGGACAGTAGCTGGTTAAGCCGAAGATCGTGGTCTTCAGGTATTTGTGGTGGCCGGCCAGATCTATGAAGGTGATCATTTTTGAGGCGCTCTCACAAATCTCCTCTGCCGTGCGGGACTCGCTGTAGTTCACCACCTAGATCAAACACACCAGAGGACAGCATGCTTTTATTTTTTGCCCTTTATTTAACCAGATGAATAATCTGGGATTAAAATCTCTTTACAGAAGTGGCCTGGCCAAGATGAGACGCACAACATTATCAAAAAAGAAAGAAAGAATTCACCATAACATTAGTACATAGTAACTCGCATCATGTAAAGATGCGAGTTTTTGCCAGCAGCCATATCACCCTGTAGCCCAAGACTGGTTGCCCACTAAAGCTAAGCAGGTCTGAGCCTGGTTAGTACCTGGATGGGAGACCTTCTGAGAAAACCAGGTTGCTGCTGGAAGAGGTGTTAGTGAGGCCAGCAGGGGGTGCTCACCCTGTGGTCTGTGTGGGTCCTAACGCCCCAGTATGGTAATGGGGACACTATACTGTCAAAGAGCACTGTCCTTCGGATGAGACGTTAAACCGAGGTCCTGACTCTCTGTGGTCACAAAAAATCCCAGGATGTCTTTCGAAAGAGTAGGGGTGTAACCCCGGCATCCTGGCCAAATTTGCCCAGTGGCCTCTGTCCATCATGGCCTCCTAATCATCCCCATATATATATATACACTGATTGGCTTCATCACTCTGTCTCCTCTCCACCAGTAAGCTGGTGTGTGGTGGGCGTTCTGGCGCAATATGGCTGCCGTCGCATCATCCAGGTGGATGCTGCACATTGGTGGTGGTTGAGGGGATTCCCCCTTCTATGTGAAGTGCTTTGAGTGTCCAGAAAAGCGCTATATAAATGTGATGAATTATTATTATTAAAGCCCTGTCATCATTTACTCAGCCTCATGTTCAGGGTTTGAGACTCACACCCGATAACTGCGGGTAACGATCAGCTGGCGGGAAACGCTGTCAAATCACACGTTACTTATTATGTTTACTCACTTTGCCGGGGAAGTTCGAGTAAGACAAATCTGCACAGGTTTAGCACAAACACTGAGTCCTCATGATGTATTAAATACAGCGTACTGCACAGATCTGCTCATATCTGGCTTACTTGAACACACACACGTCACTACACAACTAATAACGGCTCGCTTGTTCATTTGCGTTGAAGCAATAGCGAAGATTAAAGAGCATTTGGTGAACAGAAAAGACTTTATTTTCCAACATCCTACATTTTTTGATGTTCTTTTTACTGAATTGATAAACACATTTGTGGTGATGAGGATGAAAGAGGAAGAGAGGAGATGCTGGATGACAGGATTTTGTTTGAATAAGAAATTAATGTATGAAATCCAAATTGTATTATATATATATATACCGGTATATATATATATAAACTGTGACATAGTTAATCTGATTCTTTTCTTCTTCTTCTTCTTCTTTTTTGGCTAGAAGAAGTTCTGAATGGCCGGTAACTTAAAAATTTAGTAGCCAAATTGGCCGGTGAGTGAAAAGCATAATTTCAAACCCTGATCATGTCGTTCCAAACACATACGACTTTGGTTAATCTTCAAAAGACAAATTAGGATATTTATAAATAACCTTGAGAGGTTTCTGTCCCTCCATTGAAAGTCCTTAAAACTTAAAATACCCCAATTATGCTATTAAGGTTAAGGTTTATAATGTTAATGTTTATAATGACGGTTCCTAATGTTGTTTCAGAGTCTCCTACAACAGGTTTAAACGCATCTAAGGTCAAAAACACTTTATTTAACTCATAATCTCCACTGCAGCGTCAGCTCTTTCTCTCAGTGTCTGAAACGCTCCGATAAAGATTCAGTCTCTCTAAGCCCCGCCTCTCTGAGAGCTGCTCTGCTGTGATTGGTCAGAAAACAAACGCTCATTATCATATGTGAATCTCAGCTCTTGATCACAGTGATACGAACAGTAACGATGGCGAGGGTTTCACCGTATCAATCTCATCAAAGTGGATTTGCTTTGTGAGCAGAAAACAGCGTCTTCTCGACACGAACAACACGAACCCAACTCTCCCAGTCTCAGATACACTACAGTGATTGAGGGCGGGGCTAAGAGACGCTGATCAGCCAATCAACACCACAGGCTGGCATTATGCTAATTAGTTACAAACCTACACAGGTTCATCAGGAAGTGAGACTGAATTACTGACGACTCGCTTCACTTCAGAATCACTTCTTTCTTTTGGGAGACAAAAACTACATTTATCTGCACTTTTCAGACCTTTTATACTCACAAGCTGCTTTATCACACACTACGTGGAAGGTATTATCCGAAAAGGCATAATAGGGGCACTTTATAAGGTCTAAAAAGGTTCTAAAGGCATCATAAAATTAATCCATATAAATCGAGCAGTTTAAAGAGCACAATTGCTTTATATGATGAACAGATTTAATTTCGACAGCCCACTTTAGATATTCTACTAACTATGAGCCAGCTAACTCTCATTAGAGTATTAGTAGACTGTAGTAGACTGTAAGGTAGTGTACTAATACTCTAAAGACTGCTATGTAGTTGCAAAGTTACTTCTAGTTAGTAGAATGTCTAAAGTGGACTCAGATAAAGGCTTTTATTCACATATAGAGAGCGCATCACGTGTGGAAAACAAGGAAGCTTGAGCATGCAAAACTAATGACATATGTTCCAACACGGGACACTTCAGTGTTTACCATGTGTTTTGGTTACCTGGACATTCAATGGAGGGACAAGGTTTCATTAAAAATATCTTGATTTGTCTTATGGGTTTGGAACGACATGAGCATGAGAAACGGAGAGAGAGTCTTCATCTTTGGGTGAACTTGTGACACATGGGTTACCCTGCGTAATATATTATAACAGTTAACGTTTACTGGAGTTTTATGTTGTCTTAGCCTTTTTATTTCCTCTTATCTGTTTTAATGTGTTCATGTCTTTAAATGATACTGGGTCTGCCTGTCATGTGACTGATCACATGACAGGAAACAGGAAGTAGACCAGCATAGAGGAGGCATCATGGCAGTCAAAGGAGGGTCACACACTTGATCACACACTTGGACTTTCCTCTCCAGAAAGCCACACTTCATTGGACTATCTGTGGATTGTATATACACCGCTGGACACTTTCATATTGGGACTGACAAGACAACACTTCAGGAGTGTTTATTATGGTATGACGAAAGTGTTATTGTGTTGTTTTAAGTTTCATGTGAATAGTATAAACACACTTTATTACTGTTGTTCATCTCATCTTTTTAACCCCACATGATATTTTTGACTCATGCAACCCAATGATATGCTGATTGTTACAAACTAATCTTTTAAGGTCATGTTATGTGCTGATGATAATCCATAACTGCAGAAGTGTGTAGCGTGGCGGTATAAATGTGTAAAACATGTATAAAAGAGGCAAGAACTACAGCTAAAATACAAATCTACGCCCAGGCATGAAAGACCTTGTCAGTAAGCAGTTGAGTTGTTTACAATAGCCAAGCAACATCACAACTTGACATACTAACACAGATGTGAATTGATTTGTGTGTGGTCACAGTGTCAATCAAGCTGACCATTTTTCCAAAGCCGTTTTGACTTAAAATGGCTTTAAAGGGTTAGTTCACCCAAAAATGAAAATGATGTCATTAATGACTCTCCCTCATGTCATGTCAACCACGAACGACGTGCTAAGTGAGCTGAACTGTATGAAGTTCAGTGAACTTCTGAACTGTATGAATGGCGTTCGTGGTTTGACTAGTCGAGACTGTTTTCCAAAGATGGCTCCTGTCTGTATACACGAAGTGGACTGTCTTCGTAAAATATCTTCTTATTAAACGGTCTGTACACTTACAAAGTTCTCAATGCTTGGTTTTGCATGTAGGGACCCTCATTATGTTACTGTGTTAGTGCGGCGGCACTGAACGCGGATCCACAACAGAACCAGAATACACACACACACACACACACACACCAGACTAGAGTTGGGGTACTCGAACTCAGACTCGAGTCCAATTTTGAATGAACTCGGACTTGTCACGCACTTGGATGAATTTGTACTCGGACTTGACACGGACTCGGACATTTTAGACTCGGAAAAATGTCCGAGTCCGGGCACTGGAGGACACAATATTATTCAAAAACGAAACGAAACTACTTGTGTTGTTTCCGCGTTGAGCATTGTAGCCAATCACAGACATGTATATTAAGCGCATGAACACAGTGGCAAATCAGAGGCGTTTTAGTCAACATGCGGAGAATTCGCTCTTAATGTATGTTCAGAATCAGCACGAGCTTCATCCCTTCGCAAATCCCCTCATAATCAACAAAGTCTAGACGCGATATAAATAAGAGATTCACTGTGCAGTGCGGACAACTGCAGTGTTTATGAGGAGAGTTTCAGTGAGAGTGCAGAACGCGGCTTAAAGGGAGCGCTATTGACAATCTAAATAATAGTTTTGTTTTTCGTGCTTCTAGAGGACCAGTGGTTACGTTCACACAGTAAATTATAAAGAGTGATAAATGCATTTAAATGTGGGAGTGAATCCGCAAAATTTTAGTCATGTGAGTCATGAAATTGCGATGATTGACATAGTAACCATAGCAACATTTTGGCGTCTAATAGTTTTATGATTTTTGTTACATTTACACTTTTGTTTACATACACCTTTCAGAATCTCCAAAATGTAATTTTTATTTATTTATAAGGATCATAAAAACATTGTTTCTATTTAGAACTGAGGCCTACACATTAAAGCACCACAAAACAGTATTTATTGTTTGAATTTCATACTTATTATTTAAAAAAAAAATTATTAAAATAATTTAACTTTTATTTCATACCAAGAGTAGGCTGCTCTGTCTTGTATGTTGGCGCATTGTCAGTGTCCTCTTTGCTCCGCAATATATTTTTCACTGTGTGAGAACATGTGAAATGAGAGCGGATTGGCTTATCGGACGTAGCAACAGTAACTAAGGGGGGCGGGTCTTTGTGAAAGGTCAATTTCAAATCGTTTAAATCTTTGTGGACTCGGCCGGACTCGACTCGGACTCGGATGTTAAGGACTCGGACTCAAGTCCGACTCGGCCCTCTTTGGACTCGGACTCGATTGTTAAGGACTTGGACTTGGACTTGACTCGGACTCGACAAAGGTGGACTCGGACCCAACTCTACACCAGACACACGTCAGCAGCGGCACTGAACGCGGATCCACAACAGAACCGGAACACAATACAATGCTGAATAAAGGCCTAGTTTTTGTTATTTTTGGACCAAAATGTATTTTCGATGCTTCAACACACTCTAACTAACCCACTGATGTCACATGAACTACTTTGATGATGTCTTTATTTCCTTTCTGGACAAGGACAGTATACCGGACATACATGTTCAATGGAGGGACAGAAAGCTCTAGGACTAAATCTAAAATATCTTAAACTGTGTTCTGAAGATGAACGGAGGTCTGACGGGCTTGGAGCGACACGAGGGAGAGTCATTAATGACATCATTTTCATTTTTGGGTGAACTAACCCTTTAAGGTTGTTAAACTCACCACTCCTTTGCTGTCGAAGCCCAAGATCTCGATGCTGATGCTGGAGGTTCGGCCGGTCTGGATCTCATGAAGGTGTCTGAAGAGGTTTAGTCTCGCTCGGCCTCTCCCGTTGTCCAGCTCTCCCTGTGTGAGGACACCCAGCAGAGTGGACTTTCCCGAGTCCACGTTTCCCAGCACAGCCACTCGCAGGTCCAGGAACTGGAGACCATTACAGGAGTAGGTCACCTCAGAATTAACATTTACTGATAATTATGTCTGTCTTTCTTCAGTCGAAAAGAAATAAAGGTGTTTGAGGAACACACTCCAGGGTTTCTCCATATAGTGTCTTCAATGGGGTCCAACGGGTCGAAGGTCCAGATGTGAGTTTCAGTGCAGCTTCAAAGTCTCGACACGATCCAGCCGAGGAATAAGAGTCTTATTGTGCCGATGTTCATTAGTTGGAGGCAAAACACAGAGAAAACTGGAGGTGGCCAATACAAACCAGAACCGATTCCGATACGATAAGGAGCTTAAATGTCATTAGTTGTGTTGTTGGGTGCAATAATCGAGGGAGTACAGGCTCCAATGTGAAGTTTTATCACAAGGTTTTCTAAGCTATTTTGATTGTTAATCATGTGATTGTATACATTGTTGTGATTGATTGTGACTAGACTGGTAAGAAAGAATAATCAAATACATAGTTAAATTAATTTGCTGTGTCTGGCATTTTTATTTCTAGAAAATATTCACATCATTAAAATTGCACTGTAATGTCACTCTTTACACGGTCGCCTTCTGGCCTTGGCTCTGACTAGGCAGAACTTCGGGTCGTACCACACAAGTCGTGTACGTGACCATTCATCACAGTTATAGGCATCTAAAGATGTACTCTCGCTCGGGTTCTCCATCAGGTGTAGGAGTCAGGCCACTCGACCGAGGTAATCCTGTCAGATCGTCATCATTGAGGGAGCGTGTACGGGTCCGCCCATCCGGTTCCGTCCGTTAAAATTAACTTTTGAGAATAACAATCGCGGTCCTGGACAGTGAGTGACCTTACACTTTAAGATCTTCTCCAGCCAACTAGCGTAAGTGAAGCAGCCTGGGGAATCGCTCCGCCCACAACAAAAACATCACAGCTTACTAACTGAAAAGGGGTCTATAAGAGTCTTATTTAGCCAAACCATCAGTCATTTTCTGAAAAAAATTACATTTATATACTTCTTAACCAGCTGTGATGCGTCACACATTACGTGATCACGTTGAAAGGTCAAGCGGGACGTAGGAGGCAGAACCGATCTAGTGTTTACAAAGCCAACGTGCAAAGACCAAGTCAAACGCCATTTACCAAAAAGAAATAAAAGGTAAAACAACGATGTTGGATGAGAGAAAATTAGATGTTTTCGCCCTACTCTACATTTCTGCACCGGAACACGCTTGACCTTTCACCCTGATCACGTAATGTGTGACGCATCACAGCTAGAGCAAGACCAGCATTAGTGGTTAAAAAGTATATAAATGTGTATTTTGTTATAAATGTCGGCTGGTTTGTCTAGATCAGACTCTTATTCCTCGGCTGGATCGTGTCGAGACTTTGAAGCTGCACTGAAACTCACATCTGGACCTTCGACCCGTTGGACCCCATTGAAGACACTATATGGAGAAACCCTGGAGTGTGTTCCTCAAAAACCTTCATTTCTTTTCCAATGAAGAAAGAAAGACTTGAATATCTTGGATGACGTGGAGGAGAGTAAATCATCAGGACATTTTAATTCTGAAGTGAACTCCTCCTTTTACACACACTTTAGACAATCAAACCCAGATAAACACACACCTGCTGATCATCGGGCACTTTCCTGACCAGGACCTCGGCTATTCTGTGCGTCTCGTCAGAGTCGTAATCGACCTCCCTCTCTCTGAGAACTGTGATGTCTGCACCCACCCTGAACAGACCACAACACACAACACACAACATTACACTCGTCTGGATCCTCACAAACACAACACACAACATTACACTCGTCTGGATCCTCACAAACACACAACACACAACATTACACTCGTCTGGATCCTCACAAACACAAACACACAACATTACACTCGTCTGGATCCTCACAAACACAAACACACAACATTACACTCGTCTGGATCCTCACAGAACATGCCAAGAACACTTCAGCGAGAGGTACACTATCATACTTTTAAAAAGATCGCTCATTACAGTAATATTACACTTAAGTGCCGACTGAATGTAATGTTTTCAGACTCTTAATTGCATGTCAAGTGCAATTAAATGAAAATGCATTATAATTTAAATTTATATCAAATGCAATAACCCACTTAAGCACATTAATTTGTCATTTCATACTTCTATTGTTAATAATATACTTTAATGGCATGTCTAATGAAGCTTGTTTTCCATGTACTTTGTAATTACACGTGTAATGATGAAGTTGTAATTTTAGACATTTAAAATATTTCAACTTTAAATGTAATATTGAATAACAGCTAGTTAAAATTATAATCAAGTAGTTTACATGTGCTTTCGCATGTTTGTCAACACTACAGCTGCAGGGTTCTGGATAAATTGAGAAGCACAATTTTTTTTTTTTTTTTTGTCGTTTCAAATCGAGATCCTGATTCTGAACAGACAACTAAACAAAATAACATGTAATTTATTAGAGATTCTGACAAAATGGTAATTGCTCCAGTCTGTTTAACTCATTTGAATGAATTATTTTGAACAAAATTTGGTTTGGGTGAATGATTCAATGACTCACTCATAAAGACTCGTTTCATTACTGAATGAATCAGTGTTTTTGAACGAATCTCTTGAATGAATGATTCAGTGACAGATAGATTTTTAACAGTCACCCGTCGCCACCTACTGGTGTAACGATGTAACTGATACAATCTTTATTTCAAGCGTCAAGTTACCTTCAAAAGGTGATTCGCTTTATTTTGCTTTATCAGTTTTAATATTGAAACAAACTTTTATCCCGGTACTTCTGTGATAATATGAATTATTGTAAGTCAGAAATGATGATACTGTGTGAAGCTGTTGCATATCTATGCATGAATGTTCACTGTGATTGTACTCGTCAAAGGTTTAATAGACATAGATCTGAATCGCTGTCATTTAAACATAAGATTGTGTGGGAACAAGTACATTTAAAAGGACAGTTCACCCTAAAATTAAAATTGAGTCATTATTTACTCACCCTGGTGTTGTCGCCCTTCTTTCTTTTATTGACCACAAAAGGAGAATTTAAAAATCATATCCCGCCTATATATATATATCGTCCATATAATGGCAGTGAACAGCGACCAGAATCAAGCTTTTTTCAAAAAGATGCAAAAGTATCGCAGAATGATGCCATGTGACGCGTGTCGTATATCCCAAGTGTTCTGGGGGTTTATGAAATTTAATGTATTTAATAAAAATAAAAGCGGAATCTGAAATACAACGCCTAGAAATCCCCAAAAAGTATTCAAGTATGTGGATTGTATTTCATGTTGAGTTTTTCTTAGTCTTGATGTCTCACATATTTAGAATTTTTGTCAAATAAAACATTAAATTAAATTAAATTTTTTTAAACAAATTCTATCGTAAACCTCCAGAACGCGTGGGAATTACGACACGTGTAACATCACATCATTCTGTCATATTTTCAAGACTTTGTAAAGCTTCTGGTCGCTATTCTCTGCCATTATATGGACGAGCGCAAGCGGGAAATGTAAAAACTCTCTTTTTTTGTGTCCATAAAAGAACGAAGGGCGACAACACCAGGGTGAGTAAATGACCATTTTCATTTTAGGGTGAACTGTCCCTTTAAAATGCCTTTTATTTCCTTATGTTATCATACAGGTGAAACTCGCAAAATTAGAATATCGTGCAAAAGTTCAGTAATTCAACTTAAAAGGAGAAACTAATATATTATATAGACTCATTACATGCAAAGTGAGATATTTCAAGCCTTTATTAGTTTATTTGTTATAATTTTGATGATTATGGCTTACAGATATGAAAACCTTTTCACAATATTATAATTTAGAATTTGGGGTTTTCATAAACTGTAATCCATAATCATCAAAATTATAACAAATAAAGGCTTGAAATATCTCACTTTGCATGTAATGAGTCTATATAATATATTAGTTTCACCTTTTAAGTTGATTTACTGAACTTTTGCACGATATTCTAATTTTGCGAGTTTCACCTGTAGATGGTGCAGACAGAAAAAAACCCTGACTGAGATTCACTCAAATACAGAGCTAGCATTTGATATATTCATAAGACAAAATCACTTTTATTATGATGCAGTGTGTGTGTGTACGCTCGCACTTCTCAGCCATCCTGCGGAGTGTTTTGAGCGAGGCGTTCATGTCTTCCTCCGACAGGCCCACCAGCAGACCGTTGTCCTCCACGCCGATCTGATACACGGCCTCGCCGCGGCCCTCCTGGAGCCTCCACTTCATCTGTGTGGCCAAGTGCTCGAAGCGGTACTGAGTCGGGTTCACCAGCTTCAGCTGATCACACACACACACACACAAGTTAGCACTACGGTACGAGAGGCTAGATTAGCTTTGACTTATTCACGATACAGCACTAGCCTAGAGTACCTAATTGCTTTTATAAAACTGTTACCACACAATACGAATATTAAAGCCAAAAATAGTGCTGGGCGGTATACCGGTTCATACCGAATACCGGTTTTTATTTGTGTTATGATATGAATACGCGGTGTATGACGCTTTAACAAGGTTGGGAACGCGTCGTAACACTGTGTGAGTGGGTCTTCCACTGTTTCACTGGTGACGCTCAGATGTGTGTGTTACGGTGAAGATGGAGAGGTTAAGCTATAACTGATAACTGTCAAATTATATTGCAGTGTTTCCCATACATTGGTGCACAATATCATCAACAATGCCCGCCGCAAACAGATATTTTCCAAAAGGCTTTGACATCGTTGAATAAACATGAGAACTGCACGTTTCAAAGTTATTGTTATTGCCGGAGCTCGTGTAAAGACCCCGCCCTCTTCTGAACGGGGGCGGAGCTGCAGCTCATTTGCATTTAAAGGGACACACACAAAAACAGCACGTTGTACAAGCTGTAATAAATGATCTGGAGGGAATTTTGAGCTGAAATTTCACAGACACATTCTGGGGACGCCATAGATTTATATTACATCTTGTGAAAAGGGGCGTAATATGTCAGCTTTAAACGAACAACAGCTGTAGTTTATAAAAAGCACTGCTAATCGACTGCCGCCCGCTTACGTGTACAGAAGCGACTCTGAGCGTTTACACCTGCTAGACACTGACTGTGCATGAAATACATAACATTATTAAACAAATATTCTGAACAGCACTGTGATGTACAATACAGAGATGTTGGCTTGAAGAGACTTTACCTTGTACTCAATGTTTCCCTCTTCAACCTGAAACAAAAGGCAGGACAGAGGTGATGCTAAATGCTGCTCAAAGGTCACAGTTCAGTTTTCAAAAGCACAAAGACTCAGAAGAGAAAAGAGCCGCGAACAAGCTCAACGGCTCATTCAGAATAGGCTCTTCCTATTCACGTCTTGCTGCTTTTATGCCGTGTAATGAATCTAAAATTGTCAAAAACAAACAAAAAATTCTTATTACATTTTCATGGCACGTCAGATACGATAAAAGTGAGCTTTGTCATTGCAAACAAAAGTCATAATAGACTAAAGTGCAGTGAGTGCACATCACAAACTCCTTTCACCAGTCCTGTTCAACAAGTCCAGCTAATGACTACATTAATCACCTGAATGACGACTTCTAGTGTGACAGAAACACTGAATCATATTTTCCCGCCTTTATTTCTCATATTTACAAACACAGCGTCATCATAACAACAGCGTCATCATATCAACAGCGTCATCATAACAACAGCCCGACGCGACGCCGTCGTCTTTAATGATAGTTGTTTATTTCTTTCTACAGAAACTCGCCTTCATTGCCAGACAAACAATCAAAGTGAAAATGAAATGTTAATTCACTTTTATGAGCTGACAAACTAAAATAAATGTACTTTAAAAATTAATTTGTTACAACACAGGGCTATTTAGAAAATAATGTAAAAATGCTGCTCCTTTTGTTTAAATTATAGTATATTTTAAGTCACATGGGATTTTACTGTAAATAATAGTTTTTTTAAGTTTTAGTTTATAGTTTATAAGTAAATAATATTTAGGGGGAAAGCACACCATGATTATATTTCTTTATATTTTACTTAAAATGCTCGTTTATTTACGCTATAGGATTGTTGTATTTTGCATTTCATATGATTCAGTTTAGTGTTTATAGGGTAAAAACAGACTAATTTTATCAAGTGGCTTTCTGCTGTACACCTGTGTTATTATTACACTTTACAGTAATAACCCTAATAACAGTGATATAACCTCGAATAGGTTGGTATTGACATGATATAATGTAATATTATACTTTAGTGCTATCTACGTTACTGTGTGTATGTCATCAACTTTTCATGACGCAACGCTTGCAACAGTCACTGTATTTTTGTATAGTATTTATAACAAAATAATAAACAAACAAAGAAATAACCATGACCAGTCCCAAAAAACTTATATACAAACAATATAAAACCGTGTTTGGAGGAACTACTTAACGTTACTGCGAGTAATGAAAGTGTAATAAACGCAGAAGTAGATCCGCTGTTTGCTTTAAACAGACAGATGTTATAGAGTGAGTTGGCTCACCTCTGGAGGAAGATAAGGAGGATTATTGCTGGGTTTCTGATACCGGGCTGAGCGGTTTTTGCACTTTTTGCTGCCATTCTTCGCGGTTTTTCTGCTGAGAGCCGCAGTACTCGCCGCGGACCCGAACAGCTCCGACACCCGCGAGTCCATTCCTGTTCAAACCCCGAGATAAAGTGATGCACTCCCGGCTCTGTCCTACGCCATCCGCCGGTTCAGGTTCAGGTTCAGGTTCAGAGAGGTAGAAACACAAGAGAGCGAGTGAAACATGATCGTATATAAACTCGAGCCGGTAGGGCTCAACCCCCCAACACTCGCAACAATAACAACTCAACTTCCGGTTTAAGTTTGCGGAAGCGCGTCATGCGCAGAAGAGGGGAATATACTTTCTTATTCGCTTCTGTACTGAATAAAGTTAGAGTTATCTGAAACTCTCACATAGAGTATATAGAATCGAACAGAGTCAATTTGAATGGAATAGAATAGAAAAGAATAGATCCTGTGAGAACACCAGAAGTGATTCTGAAGAAGGAAGTGATGAATATTCAAATGCTGCAATCGATATGTAACTTTACACGAATAACAAGTGAAACGAAATATTGCACTGCGTTTGCGTCAGCTTTGTTAAAAAAAACAATGATTAGTCTAATAACACGCATAGAGTCGATAAAAGGATCAAAACCTTTTCTCCAGGGGCATTTGGCTTTTAATTCACAAGACGGAAGATATTTTGATACAATTTCTTTATTCTGCTAGTGCTTTCTGAAAGCGGATATTTCGTTAATAAAGGTTGAGTTCAGAAACTGCGTGAATTAAATGAAGTGATCGGTGAAACAGCGCCAGTATTAGAGGAATAAACATCTCGTATTCTCTGTTTTTTGTTTAGTTTGTGTTCCCCCCCCCAAGCAATAAGCTACATATTTGCACCTAAACATTTTTGGGGGTTGTTTGGCTTTTATTAAATATTATTATAACATATTCCACACGTTTTCTACAAGATGATGATGAGTTATACAGTGTAAGTCCTCGAATATGATTGGCTGATTCCACAAGTTGTTGTTGTTGTTGTCGTCAGTTATCAAGCATCTATCCAGTTAAATATAATCATTTTGCTGGTCGACAGAAATAAAAGTGTAGGCTATTTCTGTAACGTATAGTGAATGTACACAAACAGTGTTATGAAACTTTCATTTATGAATTCAATTTTGGTATCTGAAGCATTATGTTAATGACGTGTTTGTAAAAGTTATTACAAAGTGTTGTGCCACTTTTAGTTACACTCTTGACTTTTGTTTTCCAGTGTGAGAAAATATTACAAATACAAAATGCCTCAGCAGAGAATCAGATAATAAATGAAGAGTAAAATTAATTCATCCATAATCAGGATTAAAAGTTTAATAAAGAAACATATAAAAAACAGTTAAAATCACTTTTAATATTTCTAAGTAAAAATAAGTTGTTTGAGAGATCTCTCTTTGAAAAGAAGGATCAGTCTGAGCCCGAGGTGAGACTGGCCTGTACATGTTATTATAAATATTATATTATTATAGAAATATTATACAGTTGCTTATGGGAACAGAGCTAAATTCCTCTTTTCATACACACAAGACACACACATATCTAGTGTTTATGTGTTCACACTCGGAGGTGTTAGCCCGAACACTGCCAGATGTTCATTACACGCGTTCCCCACTTTATTCTGAGACAGTAGAGCATCATCTATCGGCCGTCTATCAGAACTGGCAGAATTTCACCCTGAGGACATTTGAGGCATAAAGATTAATAAAAGAAAATCATTAAACTTACATTTCAAATGATATAAATGATTAATGATAAAACGTAAGCAAATTATAAAACATAAATGCAGGATTTGGTATTTTGAAAATGCACAAAACACATGTGAAGTTGGCCATTCAGTGAAGTAAACAGTCAGTAATACAATAAGAACAAAGAAACAAATGACAAGCAATAGGAAAAATAAATACAATAGAACAAAGATGCAAATGAAATAAAGAGTGCTGTTCTTTTTAAAATACACAACACTGATATTTATTAAAGACAACAGTGACGAGCCGTGAGTGGTGTTCTCTCTCTCTCTCTGCTGTGGTTAGGTGAACATTAACCCTTTAAGTGTTTTTGTAGAAGTGAAATAAATTAAGAAAGTGAAACAGAAAAGTTATAGAAGTTTTAGTTTATGAAAATGTACAATGTCAAAAAATTTAATTATTCATATTTTATATAAAATATATTTTTTTCAAAACCTGGGCGACTCTAAAGCTGCAAAAAACCAAGCCAAAAATCTGAACAAGTTGTGTTTCAAATTTTAGTTTGATATCTCAGTAAATGAGCTTTCAGTGTGTGTGTGTGTGTGTGTGTGTGTGTGTGTGTGTGTGTGTGTGTGTGTGTGCGCAGTACCGAACGCTTCCACTAGAGGACTGCCAGACTCCATCACTGCCCATATCAAGGGCCGCCATCTCCATGTGTGTTTTGATTGAGTGATCTGAACCATTATTTCCACAATTTTCATACAATTTATGAAGTAGACATCCTATTCAGAAGTAGTATGAGAAGTTTGGCAGATTTTGATATGAATTCAACCTCTAAAAATAACACGCATGTGCGTTATAGCGCTGCCACATCACAAATGGTGAATCTATTATATTTTTCTTTATATTTAAAACATTTTCATTTCTAAAATTATTGAATGGATGCTATCTTTTGAACTCTTGGCATGAAAACAAACTGAGGTTTCTACCCTTCTTTCATGATTTTTCATGTTCATCGCTATTTCAAAATAAAGGTCTGAACACGCCTTAGGAGTACGAAAATATTCTTGTTGCAAATTGATAAATTACGGCTCTTCTGTAATTTATTTTGAAAAGCTTTCAAATGATATATAGTTTGTCAAGATTAGTTTAGGTTTAGTATAGGATATTACTGTTTTAAAGATGTAATGGCTTTGTGCCCACTGGTGACACTTGACAGACGGCAGTATTTTAGGTGTCTGTCACTTTAAGAGCTGACGCACTGACTCGATCTCCTGTTTACTTCCACCCGAGACATAAACCCACTGTGTTTACAGGAATACCTCGATTTGGACATATTTCTGTGTGTATTGGACCCGCTCACAGAAATCTACCTGTCAGTGTGCCAATACTGTTCAATTTCACGGCATATTGCGCTTTTAATAACTCTTTTTAACATCAAGCACGTCCCGCTCTTTATCACTAAAGCTTCTTTATCACTAAAGCTTCTTTATCACTCTAATATGTCAATAAGTCCTGCCTACTAAAATCGGCATGGTTATATTTCCATACCGCGATGTATGAACAGAAAAAGTTAAATGGATTCACAGACGCTTCAACGGGCTTCAACACATGAAAATACAGGAAGAGAAAACCAACCCATCATCAAGACTGTCTGTTCCCCTTACTTCTATTCCTTCATGTTAACTCTAAAGTTAAACCTGAACATCATTCAGATTTGTCTAAACAACAAGCAGAATCGACCATGCCATCCTCACCTGATGTGAAACACTGCCCATGTGTGTGTATGTGTGTGTGTGTGTGTGTGTGTGCAACTATAACCTTATGTCATGTTTTGTCTGACTTGTATAAGAAAGACTTCAACTTTCAAAATAATATACAGTCAAACCAAAAATGAGTCAGACACCAGATATAATATTTGATATTTTTCACTAGTGTGTGCAGGACACTATTGATCATTTATGTAAGTGAGGAGAGCAGAATACAGTAAACTGTGACATATTATACCCAAAATATTCTTCATTCAGAGACTACCAGTGACATTTATACACATTTGGGAGCAAAAATGATTCCTCCACTTTGAGCTGATCATGTTTTGCTGAAGTGTGTTTTCTGTAACTGCTAATGCTCTTTTTACACACACACTGAACAACATGAAGCATTGCTTGGTCACTGGTTGAGCTAAACTGGTATTATCTAATTGTGGAGTTAAATTTAACAGCTGACAGATATTCAACATAATTCATGTGTGAGAGTCTAACAGAAGGACAGACAAAACCAGTCAAATATCCACTGATCTGAGAACTCTGAGTTCTGCTCATGTTTTATTACCATTTTCTAAACTATAGCGAATAACTGTGATAATGTGAGAAATGTTGAAGGTGTCTGAATACATTTAGGCTTGACTGTAGAAATGAATGAGAAGTTATTATAAAGTGCTCTACTATAGTGTTGATCTGGTGTGTGTGACTCGGGAAGCAAGATTACATTTTGGTTTGACTGTTTAATAATGAGTTATTACAAAATAATCCTATAACACTGGTCTGATTGTGAGGTGGCGTGTTGATCTGTGTGACGCGCAGGTTTTCCCAGCGGCAGGAATGTGTGTGTGTGTGTGTGTGTGGACTCTCTCTGATTGGCCGAGTGTCTCAGTTCTGCTTAACACTGAGGAATGCGTGTGTGAGTCTCTCAGCTAAACACTGAGGAATGTGTGTGTGAGAAGAGATTTCTCCTGTACGAGTCTCTGGGTTTCTGAAGATGGACACACACCACGGCCTGATGTTCCTCTGCATCTGTGTGGGACTCGGGTGTATCACGACACACACACACACTGCTCTCGTGGAGAAACTGGCAGACCGCAAGATCTGTGCAGACAAACACTGTTCATGTGAGTAAAACACTATGGAGAAGATATGTGGGTAACACTTTACATTAAGGTTCATTAGTTAATGTAACTAACATGAAATAACCACATTTGTTACTGTATTTGTTAATCTTTGTTAACGTTAATTAATAAAAATACAGCTGTTCATTAGTTCACAGTGCATTAATGTTAACAAGATTTTAATAAAGTATTAGTCAATGTTGAAATTAACAAAGATTAATAAATGCATACGTGTGGTTCATTATTAGTTAATGTTAACTATTGTAGGTTAACTAACATTAACTAACAAACCGTATTGTAAAATGTTACTGAAATGTATTTATAATTTCAATAATTTGTATTTGAAGTCAACATTCAGGTGTTAATTAATGTTGTCTAAAACCATTTCAGTTTCTGGTTAGTTTTAAAAGCTCATATTTTGCTGTGCTATGGCAGGTATTGTGACAACATGCCCCAGAGTCAGTCAACATGTTTCAAACTAACTTTCTCTCCTGGGCAAAACTCTTCAAAATAAAGGTTCAAAAAAGCGTTTTCTCACAGCAATGCCACAGAAGAACCTTTTGTTTCCCCAAAGAACCTTTCAGTGACCAGTTCTGAAATGATAGTTTGGTAACGCTTTAGATTACAGCCCGGAAAGTACTGTGTAATCAAGAGGAATTTACAGCGTAACTTTCTGTAATTATTGTGTACCTATATACTTGCATGTAAGTATAAGGGAACAATATGTAAAGTTTGGGGAATAAAGGGGTAACAACCAGGAGAAATAAAAAAATATTTATACTGTAAGTATTATAGAACTAAGGGGAACTTATTCTACTATTATGATACAACAATCTTACATTTGGGAGCAATTTAGCGAGAACATACACCGCGTACCTTTTTGTAATAATTTTGTAAGGCAATACATACTGTATAGGCTTTTTAAAAATGACAGGGTACATATTTATGCATTTATAATATATATATATATATATATATATATATATATATATATATATATATTGTTTATAGCAAAAGTGCAGATGTTTAAGTTTGGGCTAACATGTTTCAAGGCAAGAAAAGCTAAGACTATTGCAATTTTTTTTTTTAAATATACTGGGAAATAAATCTGGTTTCATGTGATTACAGGGTAAGTGGTGCTTGTATAATAAATAAAGGTTTCCGAGTCAGTGATGTAAGATTGTGTGTATGCATTTTTACTGTTACGCTGTAACTACATGAAACAAGAGTATCTTTGCCCAATATTTAAGCAAAAGTTGCAAAAGTTTTCGTTTTCCGTGCACTTTTGTTAAAAAGATTATTTTATAAATGCATAGATATGTACCCTGTAATTTTTTAAAGCCTATACATGTACTGGTTCACCATTATTTCAAAAAGGTATGTTCTGGCTAAATTGCTCCCAAATGTAAGATTGTTATATCATAATAGTAGAATAAGTACCCCTTAGTTCTATAATACTTACAGTATAAATAATTGTTTAATTCTCCTGGTTGTTACACCTTTATTCTCCAAACTTAAAATATTGTTCCCTTATACTTATATTGTAAGTACGTTATAGGTAGGCTACACTATAATTACCGAACATTACACTGTAAAATCGCTTTAATTACTTTCCGGGCTGTAATCTAAAGCGTTACCGATAGTTTTTACTGGTTGAAATTCAATTGTTGATTTTAATTGTGAAGAATTCATATTTCTGTGAGTGATGATGTCATTGTTGATATCAAGAATTGATATCCTGGGCATGAATAAAAGTGAAAGGGCTCGACACGAGCTCACGGACTGCGGAAAACACGAGAGAAAACTAAAGCGCACAATAAATCTTTCATTTACAGTGTTGACGCTTTTTTCCCCACATGAACGTGTAAAAACTGATGGTCGAATTGAATTTTGCTGTCTTACAATTGAATAACTAAATTCATACTAGGCCTGAATGTTTAAGTGTCTATTCTGATTATAAACTACGGTATTACACGATTAATGATGTTAAAGCATTAAAGCAAAGATAACGACACATAAACGAGTGATATTTCACCGGAAGTTTTTCCATCTGCCTTTTAATATTTAAGTTCTGTGGGGTTTGTTCGTATCATTTGTAGCAAAAACTATTTTTGGCGTATTTTGGCACGATAAATAAAAAAACTCGTGCTATAGATACGCACTTTCATGAGATCGTGTGTTCGGTCATAAGTTCTGTGCATATGGTCAATAATGGTGGAAATATTCTGTAGTTTTATAGCCCATAATAAAAGGTGTTATAGCCCTAAGCTGTCCCTGTTCAGTGCATGTTTGCCTCAGATGTTCTCTCAGAGGCTCGAGCTCTTGAGGACTACGTGGCTCCAGACTGCAGATTCATAAACCTGAGGAGAGGCCAGCAGATCTACGTGTTCTCCAAACTCAAGCCCGTCGAGGGAGCCGGGGTCTTCTGGTCTGGAAGTGTGCGTCTCACACACACTCACGCTCATCTCACACACTCATGCTCATCTCACACACTCATGCTCATCTCACACACTCATGCTCATCTCACACACTCATGCTCATCTCACACACTCATGCTCATCTCGTGTACCTCCGCTGATCTGAGACGCATCACTCATGCGGGTCTGCGTCCGCAGGTGTACGGGGAGCGCTATGTTCACCAGATGGGGATTGTGGGATATTTCCCCAGTAACTACATCAACGAGACACGCGTTTTTCAGAAGAACACTGTCGAGATCCCAACGACTGTGAGTAAATAATCCACTGACCTTATAAATAAAGTTCACATTATAGGCTACTTTGTATTCTGATAATGCATTATATTCTCTCTCTGTAGGACATGGACTTCTTCTGCGCTTAAAGACTCTCAATCCTTTTATGAATATTAATATCCACAACAACATTTCTAAGGCCCACCAGCTCTAGTTAGAGTGTATCCAAAACGTATTTGAACCTACAGCCACTCCTACTTTTTCTAAAACTAAATAATTATAAATGACTAATTATGAATTTGCCAGTAAACCAGTTTTATTGATTGCAATGAAGAATAAAACACACATTAACATTCACACGCAACATTTGCGCAGCAATTCAAATGTTATTTTTAATGTGATGACCAAAAACGTTATTTGTTCGTCCTTCTGAGATTGTCCCCAGTTGTAAAACCGAACGTTTCTCCAACATTTGATAGAAAACACTTTTGTTTAAAAAATAAAAGACTTGATTTACCACAGTCACCAGCAGATGGCGGCAAAGGAGCATGATAAGGATTAAAGAGAGGGATATTTAAACATATTTTTACGTTATTTCTACCCAGTAAAATATTTTACAGCTTGGCATAAGAAAAAAATTATATTCTTTACAAAAATGTTTTATTCTATTTTAAAAGTTCATTATTTTGATTATTGAGTGTGATGGAATAGTGTTGGCCTGATTTTGTTGATTTGGCCCGAGTGGATTTGAGGAACCTGTGAATGCATTATCTGCTAGACAACACTATAAATTATACAATATAGGTTGATCTAAATCTGGATGATTACTTATATCATTGAAATATCGTCATAATTCCCAGCCCTTAAACTGTTAAAGCATTACATAACATTATGCAAACTTGCAGAATGCAGATTGCAAGATATTTGCTGGTGAAATTAAAGTGACGAGGACATCTATGGATATTCTGGTTGTTTCAGTGTAGAGACTAATAAAGTAAGATTTTCTTTGCGCATTTTATCTAAATATTTTACTTTGCATCTGAACTAAAGAATGAAGCCTTTAGTGGACCTTTAATTATCTGTGCTTGAAATTCAGTATAGGCTTTTAAGGATTAGTTGAATGAGTTGTGGTTTTTAATATATATATATATATATATATATATATATATATATATTTTTTTTTAAATAATCAGAATGTATTTGATTATTTTAAGCAGATTATTAAATGAGCGATGTGACTAAATGGCATTAGGCAGCAACTCTTGTAGAATTTAAAAGTTGCACCTATAAGGTTTTTATGTATGACTATGTACACAACCTTACGTGAAGTCCATTGAGTAACAAAATTGTTATCCACTTTATAAACTTAAAGTCGGCATTAAAGTGAAGTTGTGCTGGTCTTTTCTCCTCTATTGTGTCGTATATCGAGTGAAGCGCTTCTGGAACAAGAACAGATGTGGGCGGGGCTTGATTGTGTCTGCGGGGAGTTGATTGGATGGTTGTGGTTTGCTATTGGCTGATCTCATGTGAGTGACAGGTTATAGCCCCGCCCACATCATCAGAGAAGAGAAGAGATGCTGCAAAAGGAAGATATTCTGATTCAAGATTACCAGGAACATTAATTTACAAACACAGATAAATCATTTATAATCAACACTGCAATATTTAATAGAAAAGTTGTCAATTTTAAATTCATGACTTTAACCCATAACCTAATGCCATGCAATATCCCAAAATATCCCTTTTAGCTTCACATCCGGGCTACGTTTATTCTTATGATTCTGAATGTTATCCTTATTTACTCCTACTTGTTCATTAGTTCAGTAGTTGGCAGATGTCAGCAGTTCCTCAGAACGGGCCAGTGTTATATTTGGATACAGGGGAGCTGTGTGTGTGTGTGTGTGTGTGTGTGTGTGTGTGTTTGTGTGTGTGTGTGTGTGTGTGTGTGTATTAATCTCTGCAATGTGCTCTGTCCATTCTGATAGAGTTTAATAGCAGAAAATTGAAGGTAATTACCTTGAAGCGCATTCTCTCTCTCTCTCTCTCTCTCTCTCCCCCCCCCCCCCTCTATCTCTCTCTCTCTCTCTCTCTCTCTCTCTCTCTCTCTCTCTCTCTCTCTCTCTCTCTCTCTCTATAGTGACATTAATGGATATTACCAAATTCAATTTGCAGTCTTGAATGGCGCTTTTGTTTTCCAGTGTCAAGCCTTTCAATTCCTCACTGCTGTAGAACCATAACCTTATTTCATGTTTTGAATGTGGAACATCATTTGTTCGTATGAAGGAACAGAGATAAAGATGCTGTGAAAGACCAATAACTCGTTTTTTATGTAGGCCTGGGCAACGATTAATCACATCCAAAATAAAAGTTTGTGTTTACATATAATATGTGTGTGTACTGTGTATAATTATTATATATTAATACACACACACATGCATATATTTAAGAAAAATGTGTTATTTATACAAAAAATATATACATTACACATATTATATATTATAAATTATATATACAGTATATACATGCAAATATTTCTTACATATAAACATGCATGTGTATGTATTTATATATACAAAATAATTATACACAGTACACACACATATTTCATGTAAACACAAACTTTTCTTTTGGATGTGATTAATCGCAATTAATCATTGCACAGTTACTCATTACATGCAAAAGGAGATATATTTCAAGCCTTCAGTTTGTCGTACAGGTGAGATGGCATTACCTGCTCTGGCTTTCCAGCCGGTTGCACCTCCTACGGTGCCGTTGTGGCAGCTGCAGGGTCATCAGCTGGACACCGCCGTTCATAGATGCTTCGCCCCCACGACCAGTACATCTCCAGGCGGGGGGGCCGGTGGCATGCTGGGGACGTCTCCCCCCCACCCCCTGCAGCTGCCTTCACTGGGGTGATGATCCCCACCCCATTTCTTTCCTCCTCAACCAAAGCCAGTAGCTCCCTTTCTCCGCTTCCTCACCCAGCACCCCCGTGGCTTTCCTCAGCCTTGAGCCTGTTACGCCCACTCCATGTAGCAGCTGGACTGATGCTTTGCCCACGAAGCCTCGACAGCCGATCTCCACAGGGTGAACAGTTGCTTTCCAGCCAGCATCTTTGCACTCCGCTGCTAACTCGGCGTACTTCTGGTGCTTCCTTTCGTGGGCTGCTGCCATTTTCTCCTCCCAGGGGATGGTTAGCTCGATGAGGAGGGCTCGCTTTGCCACTGTGGACCACATGACTATGTCCGGTCGGACAGTGGTAGTCATGATCTCTCTTGGAAAGAGCAGCTGTTTCCTAAGGTCTGCCAGCATCCGCCACTCTTTACCAGGTGCGCGCATGCTGCTCTTCTTCTGAGCAGGAAATAAGTGTATACCGCCAGGCTTTACAAATCCTGTCAGGGCATGCTCTTCAGTTGCCGGTGAATGGTTTGCTGCCACCCTACAGCCCTCCAGGATCTCGACCAGTTTTGTCAGGATTGCATCATGGCGCTACCTGAAACGTCCCTGGGTCAGTGCCACTCTGCAACCCGACAAAGTGTGTCGGAGACTTGCCTTGGCGCTCCCGCACAGATGACAGCCCACTTCATCACCATACCACAGTGTGAGGTTCCTAGGGCATGGAAGGGTGTCGTAGGTCGCCCTCAAAAGGAAGCTGAGCCTGGATTGAGGCGTCCTCCAGATATCCGCCCAGGTAATACGCCTGTTGATGGTAGCATCCCATCTCGTCCAGGCTCCTTGCATGCCCTGGGATATTGCCTTCAGATGGAAGCGCTCCTTCTCCAGTCTTGTGATTTCGTCCACCACCATGGTCTTCTGCTGTCTCTTGGTGGCTTTGGACCAGAATTGCTGGAACCAGAATCCACAGCCAAGCCCAGCACGACTGGTCTGGACAGCCCCCATCACTTCTCGGTGTTGCAGACTGGCGATGGCGCGCTCCACCTCTGCTTGCACCTTCCATTTGCGGCCTGTGCGGATGGGAACATTTGCACTCCTTATGAGCGGGTCTGCTGAGTTCTTTAGTTCCAGCACAAGGCGAGCCTTCTCCTGCTTATATCCTAGGCTGATGGATTTGATAGGGAGATCCAGCATGCTCCGACCGAAGAGACCTGTGTCTGAAAAGCATCGGGGCAAGCCCAGCCACTTGCGGATGTAGTTGTTGGCTAGGCTATCCATTCTGCTGACATGTGATGAAGCGATTTCGCAGACCTTAAGGGGCCACAGGATTCGTTGGTGCAGGATGTGCTGATAGCACCACACCTTGTACTTCCCGGGCAGTTGACTCTGCTCAATCTTTGCCAGACCTTCTGCGAGTTGATGCTTGGTTGTCTTTCCCATATGCCTGTCTGACAAGTCTGCCGTGTACAGCCTCCCCAGGCTTTGCAGTGGTTTTTCGTCCAGCCGTGGAATTGGCTCCCCTCCTGCGGCGAAGCTGTCCCTGACTTGCACTATGCCTTTCCTTATCGACAGGCTTCTTGATTTTTTCGCCTTGACCTTCATCCTCGCCCATGCGAGAAGTTCATCAAAGCGCCTGAGGAGCCTGGTTGTACAAGGAGCCGTTTGAAGGATGCTTGTCACATCGTCCATGTAGCTCCTCAGTGGTGGTACCCTCACGCCCGATGGTAATTTGATACCTCCAACTACCTGCCTGGCCCCTATGAGGATTACCTCGAAAGCCATCACAAACAGGATGGGGGAGTTGGCGCATCCCATCGCAATTCCACTTTCTAACTGCTGCCATTCTGTCTAGAGCCCTCTAGCGTGAAACACATGTGCAGGTTGCTGAAATATCTGGCGATAATGTGCTTTATACCACCCGGGACATGAAAGAACTCCAAGGTGAAGTCAACCAACGTGTGTGGAACTGAACCATATGCGTTGGCCAGGTCCAACCAAACCACATGCACATCCTTCTTCTCTCTCCTGGCGCGCTGGATCTGATCCCAAATCAGAGAAGAGTGCTCAATGCATCCTTGAAACCCGGGGATTCCGGCCTTTTGGCAGCCTGTATCGATGTACCCATTTGCCATGAGAAAGTTTGTCATTCTCTTTGCCAGAACGGAGAAGAAAACCTTTCCCTCTACATTCAACAAGGCAACGCTTCTGAACTGGCTGATGGGCTGGGAGTTCTGCTCCTTGGGAATAAATACACAGATGGCTTGCTGCCACTCTGCTGGGACTTGCTGCTTCCTCAAAACCGTTTTCATTAGCTTCCACAGTGCCTTGACTACCTGCGGGCAGTTCTTGTAGAGCTTGTAGGGAAGCCCATTCAGCCCTGGGGCTGATGCTGACCTTGCCTTCTTGATTATCTCCTCCACTTCTCGCAACTTAG